AACCCGGTCGAGCCGACCCGCTCGTGCTGCAACTGCAACCATAATATAGCTGCAGCATGGCTCTACTGTGTTGAAAACGTGCTTTAGTTCGCTTATTTTCCGCGGGACTTCTTTTTCGAAATAAAATAAACCTATTATAAACTACTTTTTATATTAAAGCGGTCACTGAAAAAAACGGACGTCGAAACAATTATTTTGTCAACTCAACAAGTTCTCTCCTGTCCGACTTAAATAACCTTAACTTGTATTTATTTAAAATTCACGGATAGTTTTCATTAGTGCGTGACAAATCCACTGGGTAAAACTGTTTTTTTTTGGAGTAACAAATCTAAAAATCAACGCTGAAATTTTTTGTTCTATTTTGTTGCATAGTTGAAACTTTGAATCTGCAAACACTTAATAATCATATATGAATTTAATATTTTAAATAAGTTATGTACACAAGTAAAATATACTGACGATTTTTCGTATAGATATTTATCTATACATAATAGAAGTGGCATAGAAATCGTTATGTAAACAAAATTATTAACCATGCTGATTTTAAAACCGTTGCGAGATTGTTGATTCATAAACGTTATTTTTTCCATTTAGAGGTGTTGAAAATATGTGATTACATTTAATTTTATAAAAATGCATGAAATTGATTGACATCTATTTCACCTCTAAATGACCGAATGAATGGTGAAACTCATAAATGGGCGGAGGCAGTAGAGTCCAGGGGGGAGGCGTTCGCCATTAGTTTGGACATAGCGAAGGCCTCCGATGTGCTCTTGTGTTTCGAATAGTGAGTGTAGAAAACCGAAGACCCTTTTTTATTATAAACGAGGCTTGTGATTTTAGTCCTAAAGGCAACGCATCTGCATTTTGATTCTTAATCGAGGATAGATGTGTTTATAGGCCACAGCATCCACTTACCATCAGGTGGACTGTATTTTATAGAATAAGGACAGAAAACGAGCCTTTTTGTCCTTATTATATAATAAAATCTTTACTTTAAGATACTTTCAATTTTGCTGCGTACTTTGTTGTAAGTACCTGGATGACCGAGCTTTGCTCGGTTTTTTTTTTTGAAATTACATTTAGATACAAATTACATACTGATGAAACATGAGTAATATTTTTGATCTTATTGACATAATAGAAAAAACTGAACTGCTTATTTGAATAAAAAATCATGAGTGCAATTAGTTTAATTAAAATTTTCGTATATTTATAAAAAATACTCGTAAAAAAAGGCTCGAAATAATAGATTTTCTCACAAAAGAAGGGAACTTAAAAAAAATGGAAAAAAGTAGGACCGCAGACTGGACGCGAACCAAGGAATTAGGATTTCGCGACCGCTCGATATCCACTAAAGCTATTATGATCAATTAGCACAGTGTCAAAATTTAGCTTCTTATACTGTAGCAGTTTTTCATTGCCTGAAAAAAAAATTCTAGCTAGATCGATTTATTGCCCCCGAAACTCCCTGGACACTAAATTTTATGAAAATCGTTGGAGCCGTTTCCGAGATTCCGATTGTAATTATATATATACAAGAATTGCTCGTTTAAAGATATAGGATAATAACACAAGTTTCAATATGTAATTTTAATTATAAGTACTCTTATTAATGATTGTATGTGTTGTAGTTTTACCCTTAACGCAACTCTTACTGCCGCACTCAGAGAGCTTCATTAAATTCACCCTAACGAATAATTAACAAATTACCATTATCTTCGTTAATAAGTGATACGTTCTAGAGACTAAATTTAATGATTCATTAGCTAATGAATAACTTAAGGACACATGTGGCCGTGCTAAGCAATATCGATAGATGACGATAAGTCGTAAGGGTTGCTATGTAAATAAATTGCTTTCCGGAAATAATAGCTTTTGGTCTTTATTCAGTACAAACATATTAATACATATTAGTAAACACTTCAGTGTGATTTTTTCCAGCATATAACAGTAAAAAAGTATTTTAAACCGTATACAGCACCGTAATAACTGAAATTACAAATTTATTTTTTATTGTGGCAATCGACACCAGATGCCAGTCAGATGTCAGGAGTGAATGTCATTTGTTAAACAAACTTTCTATTCTATCTTCTCAAGAGCCAAAGTGTATAGTAATATATACCTCAGAGCTTTGTGTAAATTATTGTTTTGTATCGTGTTTAGTTCACAGAATACTTTTACTCCTAGCGGAGACTACGCCTAGTTTAGTTATTAATTCGTCGTACTAGTAGCATCGGATTCTCGTGGTGTATTCAGTGATCCCTACCTGTTATTTCAACGGAACCCGCACACCATATCCAACGTATATTTTGGATAAATAACACATGACAAGAAAAATATGGTAAGTAGTTCCTATAAAAACGACTGGAGGCAAAGATATTAAATTCAAAGGTTTTTTTTAATACAATATATATATAATAATTTACTAGCTACCCTAAAATCAGCTTTTTGAAAACATTGCTAGCGTACAGCAAACTCACATTGGGTTATTATTTTAGTTTGTTAGTTTTATTTTAGGTTATTTTCTTTTTTAAATTTAAATGTAAATGTTCATAGGCCACAGCATCCACTAACCATCAGGTAGACTGTGTACTTGTTTGTCATACCCATTCTATAAAAATAACATAACTGTAATAAGTAGTTTCAATAACTAACTATAAACTAATATATATTATTTTCTATTACAGTTGGCTACTCAAGAAATCAAACAACAGGCAGCAGAACTAGAATTACAGACAAATAAAATTCTTTTGGAAAAAGCTACATTAGAATTGAAGATTTTAAAAAACAGTTTACAAAATAAAACAAGTGATTAGTTAAATTACGTTTTATTTTAACCTTGTTTAAATTTTTTTTTACTATTGAGAAAAAATCTATTGACAACAGATTGTCTGACCAAAAATCCATTACTGTTGGGGTTTTCTTGTACAGGAACATTATCGATGTTACTGATTAATATATTGTCATCAGTGTCATCAGTAGAAGGCATCATGACATCGTCTAACATTGTTGATATACAGTGTGGCACATGCACATATCACTGCCACAACGGTTTCCTTTTTGATCTCCATTCCCATCTGAAGACAAGGAAACCTCCTTATCCAAATTCCAAAGGTCCTCTCAACAGTATTCCGTGTTTTAATATGACTATTATTATACAGTTCTTGTCCAATACTATTAGGTGACAAAAATGGTGTTAGCAACACACTGCTAACTGCATATCCACTTTCTCCAAGTAGCATACCCTGTCCTTGTAAATTTCCAATGTTTAACCTTTGTTTGACAGAACTGCTATTATATATAAAGCTGTCATGTGTGCTGTCTGGCCAACGTGCAACCAAATAAAAAAATTCTAAATTAGGTCCTGTTACTGCCTGTACATTGATTGAAAAAAAAAACCCTTTCTGTTTCTATACACTTCAGAAGACATTCCACCAGGACTTCTTATTTTAATATGTGTACAGTCAATACATCCTATCACTCCAGGAAATTGTGCCACTTCAAAAAACTTTTGTCTGCAAGAAATATTCAGAAGTTTAGTATGTTACTATTTAAAATAATGTTGAATGTAGAATATGTATAGTATTTATTAATGTCTATTAGCATGTTTATATCATGAACATACTTTACTTGATTGATATCTTCCATTGTAGATGGAAATTTTACAAACATTTTCATTTGTAGTGCTATTGAATTAGACACAGTAGTTATAATTCTTGATACTGACTGTTGGCATATATTCATGACATCCCCATCTAGTTTCTGAAAAAATATGAAACCAGGTAAGTACCTACTTGCATAAGTGATAGATTTATTTAATTCAGTCACAGTATCCTGTGTACCTTGCTATAACATCACTACAGTGAGGTTTGCAGATATTGTGATCGGGTTGTGCAGCAATAATTTATAAGAGGTACCTAATATTAAAGGTCTATAGCACACAGTATTTTACTTACTTGAAAACTCCCAGTAGCATAGTATCTCAACGTAACCAGAATCATTATTTCTGGAGCAAACGGCAGACCTGTGCTGCTAGGTTTTTTTAAATGTGGTTCTAGCATTGGCATTATGGTATTTTTTATTGCTTTAAAGCGATATCGTGAGTAAAATTCTTGATCAGTATATTTCTGAAATGGATCCGAATAATCACGCAAATAACGTCTTGATCCTGGTTCCCTAAATCTTCTTGCGTATTCCACAAAATCAACAAACTCTTCATAATCTGACATTTTTTCAAAATATCACAATTTGATCACAATAAACAAATCCTAGAAAATAACCACGCAATGACACACATAACCTCACAAATTGACCAAAATCATTCATTACGGTTAACGGTTCCTTAGGCCTACTAATGAACTATTAACTCACTCTGAGAGTCAACTTTTTTAAATCTTTACTTAGTGACGGCTTAAGTAATCATTAAACGTCTCTGAGTGCGGCAGTATGTGTTACAACTTATTACTTAGTTATTACTTAGTTCCCTGCTGTACATACATAGGTCTCCCCCGTAGATTGGCTCATAGGGGTATATTTGCCATAGTTGCCACGTTTAGCAAACTTTTGACAACCGCAGTTTAAAAAAAAATAGTTGTTATAAGGAAGGCGCTGCTGCGCATCTCATGATCTGTTTCCCTCTTTCACCGCTTATGACAACCACGGGATGATATCGGATTCGGATAGTGAATATTCTTACAATGACAATACCAATGTCTACAAAACTATGGTTAAAATTAGTAGAATTTCACGTACTTGTAAATATTTTAAATTCAATTGCATTCAGATGACTACTATTATAAAATGTTATAATTTTTTTTCTATCCATTTAAATTGCGGAAGAAAAGGTTTGTAAGGGAAAAGTGGGGCTCTGCTATTGCTTTCCTTCTTATACAAATGTTATTCAAACGCTACTCACAAAACTGTATATCGTATGTAACAGGTATAGATAAATGATAACTCTTAAAAATAGATTATTGTTTTATTCTATTTTTTTATAGGCAGATCTATATCTTTTAGACGACCCGCTGTCGGCCGTGGACACTCACGTGGGCAAACACCTAATATCCGAGTGCATCACCGGGCTCCTACAGAACACGACACGCATCCTAGTAACACATCAGCTGCATCATCTCAAGGCTGCCGACAATATCATAATTCTACGCAATGTGAGTACCTCAAATATTATCTATTATTAAATATTGATCAAGCCAGTCAGTATATAGTGTATTAGGAGTAATTGGTAATTAAATTAGTTCGTTCGTATGTCGCATTGCGCGTGTGCCATAAGATAGAGACTTTAACATCGATTGATACTGTAGTGTGTTTGTGGTGTTTATGTATATACAAACATTATAACCACACCGTTATCCCAATATCATAGTTTATGCTGCCTCCCGCGTAGGTATTTACTACATAAGCTGTTGTCGCAAAAATGCTGGGGGTTGTCACGAACTCGGGAATAAATAATATTGAATATTATTAAATTCATTATCATTTATTAACATTATGTACCAAGTATGTATATACATTATGTACATACTTGTAAGTTTAAAAGATTTACAAGGAAAAATAAAATTTCAATTGTCACACTGTAAAATATTTTCGTGACACTTTCTTTTTGTAAATAATTCCAGTATTCGATTGTTAAATTTAATTATGTGGTTTATTCGCATTCAGATAAACAATTTTATCAAAAAATGAGGCATGGTCGTCCTTTGAATTCAACTTTGCATAGTAACTCATAAGTCATAACTATAACAGTAATTTACCATAATAGATATTATATTTTTCGAAAACGGCACTTAAAATTAGTTAAGTAAGTACTACAATACACGCTCGCGTCAACCGTGTGTCAAAATTCATAAAGATCGCGCCGCTCACTGACCCGCAAGGAACCCGTCGTTGCTCTGCACAAATTCATTTGATTCCTAACTGTTATGGTGGCCACGCACGGTCAGTTCAACTGATCATTCCAACTGATCAGTTCAAAACTAAAACTGTTGATATTTTTTTTAAATATCGATATTACTCCAATATTAATATATTTATAAATGATCTATATATCGAAAATCCACTATTTTAAAAAATATCAACAGTTTTAGTTTGAAGTGATCAGTTGGAATGATCAGTTGAACTGACCGTGTGTGACGTCCATTAATCTCTTTAAACTATGCCAATATATACCTATATAAATATATTCTGTCGTATATTTAACAGATTTACCAATTACCATACACTTGTTAGTCTGTACCAAAAGGAGTGGATACTCAATAATACCATACTTTTCATGTGTATGTTACGCTATATCTATGTTATTATTTATAATCGTTATTTAATGAGAACCGGTTTTAGTTATTCTGTTTGTATTAAATAGGTTATACTTATTAAACTCAGATATGCAGTGGGTATGAGTGTATGCTATACATAATAACATAACATAAACACTCACGCCTGTCACCCAGAGGGGTAGGCAGAGACTACAGACTTCCATTTGGCACGATCCTGACACACCTCTCTTGCCTCCTTCACATCCATACACCTACGCATACATGCTCGTCGGTTAAGGGTACTCCTAATTTGGCCCGTTTTCAATAAATCGCCAATTTGGTCGATAAATTTTCGCCTAGGATGTCCCTTTCCGACTCTGCCATTCACTTCTGCACCATAAATTTTCTTTGTCACTCTTTCCTCATTCATTCTTTCCACATGACCAAACCACCGAAGCATTCCTTTCTTAATCCTGGTCACAACATCATCTTGCAAACCACACTCTTTTCTTATTACACAATTTCTTACCCTGTCATTCAGATTCAGCCCTAACATACTCTTTAACGACTGCATTCTACTGCGTTTATTCTACTCTCGTGCTTCTTCTGCCACACCCAACTTTCACTACTATACGTTAAAGTAGGGACCAACACAGCATAGTGAATTGCCATACGTGCCTTTTTCGACATATTTTGACTCTTCACAATAGAGTGCAAGGCCCCATTTACTCTATTTCCCGCATTCACTCGTCGTTCTATATCCTTATCATACCTCCCATCCCTGCTAAATACGCAGCCCAAATATACAAACTCATCTACTTGCTCGATCAACTCCCCTTCTATTCTTATTTCACAAATCGTTTTACTTTCTTCTCTTTCAAAAACCATAACCTTCGTCTTACTTGCGTTCACTTTCATACCCCTTTCTTTTAATGATTCGTTCATTAATGTAACCATCATTTGCAACTCGGCCGCCGACGACGCAAGAATAACTTGATCATCGGCGTACAAAAGGCATTTGACGGTTAACTCACCCATTCTTAATCCGCATTCTTCAACTTTCAAATTTTGCAAACAACTGTCCATAAATAGGTTGAACAGCCACGGGGAAGCCACACAGCCCTGTCTGACACCTTTATGGATGTCAAACCAGTCCGAGTAGACCCCGTTGATCCTAACACAAGCACTAGAGTCCCTATAAAGAGACTCCAATGCCTGTATCAAGCCAGCGCTCAACCCAAATGAGTTCAGTGTTTGCCATAACAAATCCCTATCCACTCTGACATAGGCCTTTTCCAAGTCCATGAACGCACAAAAAACCTTTTGGTTTTTGGCCAGAAACTTCTCCGCGATCATGCGCATGGAAAAGACTTGATCTGTACATCCCATTCCCTTTCTAAATCCCGCTTGCACTTCCCAAATTTTTCCATCAGTTTCTTTCATGACCCTTTCAATCAGTACCTTAGCATACAGTTTTCCCACAATGCTAAGAAGGCTGATGCCACGGTAGTTTTTACAGTCCTGCTGCGACCCTCTTCCTTTATATACTGGGACTATCACGGCTTTGCACCAGTCTACCGGTACCCGCTTCAGTTCCCAGCATAAATTAAACAAAGTGTGCAGCAGGCCTGCCACCACTTCCTCTCCAGCCCTTAGCATTTCGAGTGAAACTCTATCATATCCGGCAGCCTTACCTGCTTTCATGCTTTTCATTGCTTTCATTATTTCATCTATACTTATCTCGCTACCTCTTTCCTTTTCTTTCGGTGTTTCTACTTCACTTAGTACACACGTTGTCTCCTCACTCATAAACACGCTTTCAAAATATTCCTTCCATCTCTTTAAACTCAAAACTTCATCATTCAGAATATAGCCATTCTCGTCTCTTATAGCATTCATCATAGGCTGTTTTGAATGTCCCTTAGCAGTTCTTACAAGTTTCCAGAACATTTTAATATTTGCCTGGAAGTTATCCGATATTCTTCTATCATTCTTATCAGTTCTTTCTTGCTTTTTTCTTTCAATATCACCATTCGTACCACTAGAATTAGCAGCCTTTGTTGCTAGTAAATCTAGCCATGGCTAAATACAAATTTGAATATAGCGTTTCGTCTCTACACAAAATAAGAGGTAACGTTTTTATTAGATAATAGGGAAATCTAAACCCATGCTGTAGCATAAGCGTTAGGCACAGTCAAAAAATAAGCAGTCAGTTATCGGATATCGTATACGTCTAGACCATAGACAGGGCATTCGTGATTTGAGGTACGGATAGGGGGACCCACCGTAATCCGACATGGTCTATTATTTATTATTGAATATTTTTTGACAATCTTCGCTAATGCATGATTGAACAAGTTATAACTTGTACGCACCACCATTGTATTGTGCTCGACGCGTAGGGTATTGTTTTAATTCTGATTGCTTAGTTTGAATTGGACTTATTGAAGTATGATTTGTACTTTAGAGTACATATAGATAATATATAGAATCTTATCATTGGATATTTAATTTGTCGGATTACAAGGTAGGTACTCTTTTGTAAAAAATTCCGGACTATAGGGGGTCTAAGACAGTACTCTATAATTCGACAAATTCGATAGTTTGACACCGCCCTGTAAATTGTTTGTCGGATTACAGGGGGTCCAATGTATATGCAAAACAAAGTGGCTGATTGTACTATTCGGTATTATATGCAATTTGCTGAAAGGTGTATCTTTCTGTCTACGGTACTTAAGCCTAGTCGAAATCCCGCTAGTTCGGAAGAACTCGAAAACAGCACGTAGACGTTACTGAGTAATGGCATCGGTCTGTAGTTTTTTAAAAGAGTATTATCGCCTTTTTTTAAGAACAATATCATCTCGCATCTACTCAATGACTTGGAAGTAGTGCCGCAGAAAACGGGATGGAATAGCTTCTGAAGGGTTTCAAGTACCTGTGTACCACTAGCTATCAGAAGCTCTACTGTTATTTAATTCTCGCTCGAGGCCTTTCCGTTTTTAAGCTGCTGTATAGACATTAAAACCTCGCTCAGTCTTGACGTCCGGGGTATTATCGGAATAATGTTAGATAATATTTACTCTTGGATCATTCCTCACATTGCCTGTTGCTGCAATGATGATGTGTACAGACTTTGGAGCCTTAGCTCCGCTCAATCGCACTTTCAATACGAGTTATGTAAGTGTCTTGGAGATGCACGCCTTTACAAATTTGCCTAATCGTTTCCCGTCTAACAGGCGTTGTTAGATGGGGAGATTAAGATTTTTTTTCTATAGAATAAGGTCCTCCTGATGGTAAGAGGATGCTGTGGATTATGGACATCTACATCTAACCTCGAATGAGAATCAAAATGCAGATGCGTTGTCACTTCTGAGAACTAACATGGTATGCCTCATTTCCAGTAAAACGAGTCTCCGGTTCTCCACATTCACCATACGAAACACATTAAGGGGAAATATAATCTCAAATGGCTTAGCAAGATCCTTCGTTATGCCGAAAATATTGCAGCATTAATTTTGAAATAAATATATGGTAAAGTTGAGGATCAATGTTAAGGATTATGTTAGACGAAAACACAATTTCGTAAAATTTTCTCGATAGAAAAAAAATCCAAAGTTTCCTCCAAAATAAACGATAAACTGCTGTTATTCATAAAATAGATCATGAAACCTTGCATACTAACTGAACTAACTATAAAGCAGTGCTTATGTTATTTACTTTTTTTTTAATACCATTATTTTCACTGTAAAAAGAAATTACCTAAACTACCGGCCTTTTGAAGCGTGATTCCTGCCGCACGGTCACTTCTCTTCGGCCTTTGAACGGGGAGGTTGTGTCGCTTACGATCAGAATATACATTACGCAACAGGACGACGTAAAATTAAAATGGGAAATAACCGTAATAAAAATAAGAAGCGACTGGGTTGGCGTTAAGAAACAGGCATAAATATGATAAACCTAATGAAATAAGTGTCTAACGACCTTTCTACTTACAGTATTAGTGATTACAAACATGTCAGTACATAGCATACGACGCGCGGGCTAGTGGGGACGAAATTAGAATTTGAGCTGACTTACTCTATCCCCTTAAGCTGCTTTTTTACACTAGTATTCTGTGAGAGCGTGGTCCTTCCGCGGTCGAGCCGGCTCATTCGTGCTACAACTATAATATTTTTTTATAGGAGAGGGGACAAACGAGCATACAGCTTACCTGATGGTAAGTGACTATACAACAACTGCAGCACCAAGGGAATCGCAGGTGCGTTGCCGGCCTTTTAGAAAGGATTAAGCTCTTTTCTTGAAGGTCCCTAAGTCGTATCGGTCCCTAAAATCGCCGGTGGTAAACTATGCCACAGAGAGGGCGTGCGCGGAAGAAAACGTAGTGATACGTACAGTGGTGGACCGCCAAGCATCCAGATGAAGTGGATGATATTGGAAGTTTTGCCGCAATGTGCGTTCATGAAATTTGGCTTAATCCGAACAATTCCTCAGAGCACTCCCTTGGTAGATGCGAAAGATGAAAGAAATGCAAGAGGATGCAACATCTCTTCGCAGCGCCAGTGAATCGAGCCGATCGGTAAGGATTTGGTCGTCGACGATTTGAGCCGCTCTGCGCTGGAAGCGGTCAAGTGGAAGGAGCTGGCACCGGGAAGACCCAGCCCAGAGATGGGCACCCTTTGTGCACCTACATCCAAGCAGCCCTGAGCGTAGGTGCTCAAGCTGCCTTGCGTATTCATAGGGGGGGGGGGGCAAAATCTCGCTCGATTTTAACGCCCACCACGCTGAATGTCTCGATTCACATTTAATCGGTCATACGGGGAGATTAATGACTTTTCCTCGGCATATAGTAATTCGACGAGGACTAATACTCGTAGAATGACAGCATCGTGGTTCTATGCGTTGTAGTAATTCTTCTATTGCAGGCATGGAAGGTGTTGTTGCTGAGCGGCTGCCCTGTGTTACATTGATGATGAGTAGTGCTGCTGTTGGTTTTCATAATTTGGTGCTATCATTTAATTACGTCCATCGTGTTATCTTAATATAAATTAATACTTTTAAAGGATAAGATTCAAGATTTATTATGATAGCAGTTTAATAAAATCAATTCTTTTTTAGGGGGAAATTGAAACTCAAGGCACCTTTGATGAAGTATCCCGTTCACCGTTATTCGAAGAACTGCTGGAAGAAGATGAACAACCTGAGGCTGAAGGGCGAGCACAACTTCTGCGACAGCGTACTATGTCTATAAAGGTATAACAAAACTCTTTACGAACTTCTGTACCTCTTTAGGTTTCTTTATAAATCATTTTGGTTTAAATTTATAAAAAAAAAATTGGAAGCCACATTTAAAAACTTTTAAAAGTAAACGTGCTTCTTTAACTGGGATCATTCGTAACTTTGTTAAGGTGTTATCACGTCAACTGAGGTCCCAGATTAGAATCCCAAGTCAGGCCAAAAAAATCAGTTATTTGAGTTTTCCCGTCAAAAAATTCCCAGAGTCCGGAAGTTGGCGGAGTCTCACTACCGTGCCTCGGAAAGCACGTAAAGCCGTTAGCTCTGCGCCTGGTATTTCTTCGGCCGTGTCGCTTAATGTCCGTCCCATCGGACTATGAGAGTGAGGGAATAGAGTGCACCTGTGCTTGCGCACACACATGAACACTATAATCCTGTCCTGCACCGATGCCTAGTCTCCGTTGAGGCTGGTCGCCCCAACCGAAATTCGGTCTGAAGGACTATTATTACCATGTCTAATGTCGTATACCGTATATTATCCTCTGATAAAGCCATTCATAGATTATCTACTCGAAGTTTTGGGCACTGCAATGAAAAATAACTTAGCGCCCCTTTAAAATGCGCTAAACAAACCCTTATAAATTAGATGCCGAAACTAATATTATGAATATTAAATAAACAAACGAATTTACTTGCTTGTTTATACGTAAAATATTACTTAAAGATGTGTGCACCCGAATAACATACACGAAAAGTGAAGTCTATCAATTGCAAGAAAGTGTGTTTCATAGCGCAAATGATATTACCTTAAGTGTTCCACGTACAATTTTGAATTCACGTACAATTTACGGGTGCAAAACATTACAAAATTTACGCTACTATTACTATTTTACATTAAAACATTAAAAAGAAAAATACAGGATTATTATACTATGCAAATAAAACTTACACAAAACTAACAAATAATGAACATTACCTAACATTTAAAATATAATACAGTTATACTAAAATAAATACATACTTGGGTACTTACTTATAAACATTTAAATAATTAAAATCTATCATATCTATAACACAATAAACAGCTTATCACATTAAACTTAACTTATAATAAACAAAAAGTGTGTCTACAGTGTAACCTGTTTTCAATACTGGGAGTTAGGCTGGACACACACATCCGGAATAGGATTCAGTATCGGAATTCATAATTTGAGTGTCTATGATTGAAATGCTATTTATTTATTTATTTATATTTTAAAAACAGTGTATATGCTGGCTTACAGTATGCCCAAAACGTCACCATGCTAATTTACGAATGACTATCACTCACTACTAATAAGTAGTGCGACGAGTATTACTCATCGCAAAACTTTTAGCTTTATATAATTAAAAAGAGACGCAATGCATACAATTTAACTATGCTCCACACACACTTCGATTTTTAACTTCCTAGTGGGAAGTTATTGTAATGCGTCCAATTTTGCAATTAATACATATGAAATCTTAACATATCTCCACGTTTCAAGGTCTTTAGAGTCGAATAGTATGGTTTTTAAGAGTACGTATATATATATGTATGTATATGTATGTTCGGATTCAATTTTCGCCTCGTGTATCTCGAGAACAAACAGTGATATTGACATGAGAGCGGTTTCATTTAACGTATAATTATGTGCGTATTTTGTGCTGAATGAAAAATTGTATAAAATATTAAAACACATGATATTTTTTTATTCTTTGCACTGGCAAGTTAGCCGTGTGGACCTTTCGGTCGCACCTAGACCGCTTTTTTAAATTGTGATTTTCTCAGATCGACTCTAAGCGTTCTGAGTTCCGGATCTCAATATTTTTAAGATTATGATTTCATAACGCGCGTTTTTCTTTACATTTAAACACGCGAGCACACACAAACCGGTATCAGATTATAAATTACACTGGCCTCCAAAAAAATCGACACACCACCGGTTTTTCGCAAAAAGGGTCTTATGGATTTTTACCATAATCGATAGATATTTTTTACTTTGATACTGTAATAATGCAATTATAGGGTCGTAAAAAACAAAAACGGCGCGTGAAACTGGATATTTTACGTACAAATGTGAAGAGATATTGAAACCATAATATTTTACAAAATTTACGATTTTACCGTGAACATCGATATTTACATTTTTTGATATTTTAAAAAATGTAAATATTACTTTAGTATGGAGTGTCTCCTTCTCTTGCTTTTACCACCGCCTGCATACGCCTATTAAGGGAACGTATCAGCTTTTTTATGTTTTTTTTTTTATAGAAGAGGGGGCAAACGAGCATGCGGCACACCTGATATTAAGTGACTACCGCCGCCCATGATCAACCGCAACACCAGGGGAATTGCAGGTGCGTTGCCGGCCCTTTAGAAAGGAGTAAGCTCTTTTCTTGAAGGTCCCCAGGTCGTATCGGTCCGGAAAAATCGCCGGTGGTAAACTATTCCACAGAGAGGTTATACGCTGAGGAAAACTCCTTTTGAAACTTACAGTGGTGGACCGCCAAGCATCCAGATGGTGTGATTGGTATCGGGACGTTTGCCGCGTAGTGCGTTCACGAAATTTGTCAGCTGGGATTAATCTGAACAATTCCTCAGAGCACTCCCCATGGTATATGCGAAAGAAAATGCAAAGAGATGCAACATTTCTTCGCAGCGCCAGTGAATCGAGCCGATCGAAAAGCACTCGGTCGTCGACGATTCGAGCCGCTCTGCGCTGGATGCGGTCAAGTGGAAGGAGCTGGTACTGGGGAGCCCCAGCCTAGAGATGGGAACAGTATTCCATGTGCAGCCGAACCTGCGCCTTGTAAAGTTGCAGGCGGTGTGCCGGCATGAAATACTGTCCCGCTCTGCTGAGCACGCCAAGCTTTTTAGAGGCCAATTTGGCCTTCTCTTCCAAGTGACCACGAAACTGCACGTCACTCGATATAACATATATGTCTTCTTGGGATGTCTGTTCCCATTCTTCTGTTATGGCTTCCAGTTGATCCAACGTACTGTTTTTCAGGAGTTTTTTTAAGGAACTGGATTTCGAGCTCTAACCTTTCTTTTTATCTAGTCCTAGAGATGCTGGATGGGATTTAAGTCCGGACTATTAGCTGGCTACTGCATAACTGGTATTCCGACCTCCTGAAGATATTCAGTTACAATTCTAGCGACGTGCGGTCTTGCGTTATCGTGCATGAGTTGAAAATTGTCCCCAATGTACCCAGCGTTAGGCATCACAGGAGATTGCAAAATGTCCGTAATGTAACTTTCAGCATTAACCGCATGATTGCGAAAGAAAACCAACTCAGAACATCCGGTTAAAGATATGCCACCCCAAAACATTGTAGAGCCTCCACCAAACCGGACTGTTAGTCTTATGGAACTCTGAGCATAACGTTCTCCTGGTCTTCGCATAACGTTACGACGTCCATCAGAGCCTACAGGTGTCATTCGGCTTTCATCGCTGAAGAGAACTGTCTCCCATTGACCAAGATTCCATTGTACGTGTTGCCTAGCAAATTTTAACCTTGTTTACTGATGAGATGCAGTGAGTTTTGGTCCCGTCGCGAAGTCTCCTTCTCAGCGTATTCTCACTTACAGACACGTCACGAGTTTCCCTCAGCCTACCCTGAACATCAACAGCAGAAAGATGCAGATTTTGCAAACAAGTCAAAGCAATAAAACGGTCATCCGTCGGGTTTGTGAGACGTCCTCTTCAAGATCCTGGTTCCGGCAGTACTCTCCCGTCTCTAAGTATCGTTTATAAACTTTGCGCAATGCTGATCGACTCAAATTTAATCTCCTTGTCATATTTCGCTGACTTAGCTCTTCATAAGCGAGAGCTACCACTTGAGTGGTTTCTACTTCGGTGGTATCCATACTTTATGGTTAAAAGTAACGATATGTCTGCTCCAACAAAAAATTTAAAGATTAAGTCACTACGATGCATAGAACCAAGATGTTCATTTTGCGGTCATACCGGGTTTATTATTTATATTATATTATAAACTATATCTTTTCAGACATTTGCTGGCCCGACTGTCTGACGTGCTCATAAATATCGTTCATTTTGTTCCGCAAGTCATTTGCATAATCGATTATACTGTGTGGGGCATAAGGTGGTATCGGTGATCAGGTCTGCAGGCAGCCGTAATTCTCTTCCAAAGTTTGCGAAAGCTGGTGCCACTGATGTACTTTCGTGAACAGCGCTTTGATATGACAACAAAAACGGTTGTATGTGAAGAATATTACGCGTCAAAAGTCCGAAATATGCAACCTTGCAGTCCATAGAGTGCACAAGTCGACAATTTTTATCAGTACGCTTAAAATGTTACAAGTACCCACAATAGCACTTGTATTCCTCTAAAACAATGTCAAGTGGATACTCAGATGTTAATTTATAACGCATAAACAAAAACATACAAATATGTCACCGCATACTTAAGATAACAACTTTGTTATTCAAAATTAACGGGTGGGTCGATTTTTTTGGAGGCCAGTGTATTTCAGCTGACACTGCGAGCGGTAACGGAGACGTGTTGCGACTTGTGAAGCTATAATGTAGAAATGACTTTCATTTACTCTTATTTATTATTAAATATCTGTCATATTAAGAGGATGAATCCAGTGTATTCGTTTGCGTCTCTTTTTTATTATTTAAAGCAAATAATATATAAAATAAATGATGCGAACAGTATTAATTCTTTTGCCATATCCGAGACGTGTGCCTGAGCCGAGAAACACGAAACTACAGACTACTGATTTATTTGAGTTTTTAAGCCAGCTTGCCGGAGTTTAATTTATGAATTCCGACTCTGAATTCAGAGAAGCATTTCGGATGGGGATGTGTGAGTCCAGCTTTACACTTTCCTTTGTATTTGCTTTTACGTACTATTACTTTTACTTAATAATAGGCGCTTATATAAAATATTTTTTGAATTACCCTCTGCCTTTTATACATTTTGTGCAGTACGTATATTAAGTTATTTATAATTATCTTAAATTAAAGGTATGTCATGGCTACTTAATGCACATCCCCCATTTTTTTTTGCTTTTTTTGTTTCTCAGTAAGTAAGTGTCTCTTTTGGCAAATACATTTATTAAACCACAAATAATGATAACCATGTTATTTACAATATGATTTACAAATTCGAGAATAATATTAATAAATTATACATTAAAATATTATAGAATATAATAGAAAATTATGTTGTAATGGTTGTTTGATGTGAAATGGTTTTGTTGATATAAAATACATTGATTTATATAACTCAATGATAAAATAAGAGTAAAAATCTTTAAACGTAGGTACCAACGTTTCACAAAAAAAAAAACTCGTATATCCTCTCATTAATGATAGAATTTTGTAGTAGAGTAAAATATAAGATGTACGTTTCACACACACATTATTCTTTACACGGCGAAGCATTTAAAGAATAGAAAACATACAATTTTAATAGTAGTTTATTGATAGACTATTTTTAATTATATAAATGCTGTGTTCCAGTCTAACTTTGCATCATAAAGTTTCGTCAATTAGGTGCGTATTCTGATGGATCCAATAGAATAATTTTTTAGGACGTTATAACAGATATAAACAAATATACCATGCAATTATGACGAGAACATGGCACAATGCTACTCGTAGTTTACAGTGTAGCGACAGCGGTAGAGGGATTTCGAACTAACAAATATGAACCACGTCGTGAAGCTAATAGCAAGTAAGCTCATGAACGATTTTTGTTCGAGAAAGGTTTTTCTGGCAAACTATCGGATAAAACGTGTCGAAGCGAATAAGAAAATGTTATTGGATAAATTTGAACAGCATTTTTCGTCGGCTTCGACAGCGACAAATGAGAAAGGTCCGTAATACGACGTCCGTGCTATTATAGAATAGCATTTAGGCTCTTTGTGTCACACGAGGAGGTAAAATTAAATAAAATAGAGAAAATAACAGCAGTTGTAAATGAACCTTGTATTGTTTTAAGACCAGCGAGGTCGTTGCCGTCAACGATAATGTTATTTATTTCTATAAAATTTTGTAACTGACCCTTGTTTTTTATGCAGTCGCACATCAGTGTCAACAGTACGGTTGCAGAATACGGCAATGAAAATGAGGAAGAACCCGAAGAAACCGCCGAGCTCATAGAAAAAGGTACCAAATCAATGACACAAATTTGAAGGTTTTAAAATATTTAACTCAATTATCTATCTTACTTTTAAAAATGTCACGTGTAATTACTGATTTTTTTGGCAAAACTGTATTTTTGTACAACAACTAACTATTCACACAATCCGAAGTAGAGTTTTTATCACAAAGTGTTATTTAATTAACATATACTCTAAGTAAGAGATAAGTTGAGTTTTTATTATTAAAGCACTATCTATGCCCACGACTTCGTTCTGATATAATCTTTGTTAGTAATTTATTTGTTTTGAAGTTTTATTACTTTAGGTTTAATTAATTTGTATTCTATTGTGAGACTGTGGCTATTTATATTCACACACGCCGGTAAAGACCGCAAAAATCTACGATGCGATATGCGTTTTTTCGTAATGTTCTTTATCTGTAGCCCAACTTGTCATTGGAACCAATAATAACGAATTCCCATAAACTACAAAAGAAAAGCAGTCCGGTTTTGCTAATTTGTGAGCTATGGCGCGATATGACGGTGTTCTTATTAATTATTGTCGATTTTATTTGTTAATATTTTTGTATAAAATATTTACATACCATTGAGACATGAGTAACCATTTTTAAAATTTTGTTTGTCTGTCTGTCCGAGCTCATCTCAGGCATGGCTGAAATGGTTGTAATAAAACTTCATAAACAAATAGATAGTTATATCACGAGTGAGCTAGACTAAATTTTATCCGAAAAATTTAGTCTAGCTAGAATAGAGATATTGGTAAGATAAAAGTCTTACTAGAATAGAGATATTGGTAAGATAAAATAAAAGGTCTTTAATCGTAAGTCTAAATAACGACACATTATTGGACCCCACCTAGGAGAAGCCAGAGCGGATTGCTAGTTCTAAATTTTATTTTAAAATATATCTACCTACTTGTGTATTCTTTTCAAATAATTTTCCCCATTTTAATATATAATTTCCAATTAACCGAATAATATACCATTATACCGTTATTAGCGGGTTTCCTCTATTGGTATCGTGCATATCTACGGTACGGGCTCGATGAGCCACCATTTCTAGCCCTATTCTTTATCCGTACGGACTTTATACGCTGATGTGAACTTGCCAGCTTACAGCCGTCAGACGGATACTGATAACACCCCAGAATGATAATGTACGTTGTAATGCAGGGCGCGTGTCCGGGTCCGTGTACGTGAAGTACTTCCGCGCGGGCGGCAGCTGGGCGCTGCTGACTCTCATGCTCGTGTCCATTTTACTGGCACAGGCTGTAACCTCCATCAGCGACCTCTGGCTCACGCATTGGTAATATTCTACTTTTAATTTAATTTTTTTTTTATTTAATATTATAGTCTCTCTGTCTATATAAAAAAATTGTTCTCTCGTAAAAATATAATGAAATTATTAATAAGTAAAATATTTGTAATAATTAAAATAATTATATCATTTAATTACATCTATATTTTATATTAGTGTCCCGAAACTCAACGTCAAGCGGACCGGGCGAGAGGTCAACCCATAAATTGTTCTGGTAAAAATAATAAATAACCTAAATTGAAAATTTTAAACCCCCGAAACAATTAAAAAGAGCTGATGATCTTCAAACGGCTGAAAAGGTTTTGTTGAATCATATCTAGAAACAATAGATCAAGTCACCTTTCAAACAAAAAAAAAACTAAATCTAAATCTCTTCATCCATTTGGGAGCTACGTACGATGCCACAGACATACATAGACACACACGTTAATACCAGTAAACATATTACACCTTTCTGTTTGTGATGTTAAAAAAATCTACGTTTTTTAGTCAAGTGAAAATAAAAATATTTTTGAAAATATTTAAAGTCCGTTTTTGCATTTTAGTGACTTTTATAATAATATAACCCTTATTAACCATGCTACTATGTAAGTCAGAAAGAGATATCGCTTGACGTTCATTTTTGGGACAAATATGTAGAAAATTGCCTTTGATGATATTTTAGCGTCTGTCGTATAATGTAGTATTATTGTGTAAGTGGAATATAAGCTATTCTGAGCAGTATTCTGCTTATTATATTCACTAAGAAGGAAAACATTTGTGAATGAATTAATGTTTATTTAGATGACAGCCGTGTTCGCTTATAATGGAGTTTTGTTGTTTTAGGTACTGTTTAAAAACGTAGTGAACCAATGATGTAATTAGTATTTTTTTAAATTTATATGAAAATGAGCCACAACGTTATAACATTCCACAACAACCAATAGTGTGGTTTCTTTTTATTTACTTTGTTTCTAAGCACATAATATAATCATTGCGACTAAATAACACCACCAGAGTTGCAGCTACAGCGATATGTGCTCTTTCTCTTGGAAATTTGGATTGACAAAATGGCTTCCAATCTCAGATTCGCATAGACACACGCGCAACGTTGGAATAGCCTAAGTTTGGTGTTTACTAGAGACCTTAATGTGTTACGGTAACGTTGAATTAAAAATTATGTTTTTGAATGCCTTTAATTCAACGTTCTGCGAAGAAGTTGGACTAATGAAGTTGCATCATTATCATGTTGACAAAACTATGTGTTTGGTCAATATGTAATTAAGGTCTGTATATAATGTGGTTTTGCAAGAAAAAAAAGACTGGTAAGGGCTAATCAAAGTCTAGAGGTTTTGTAGGCAAACTAGTCTGGTCTATTACAGCTGACCGAGTTTTTTCCGATCAACTCGATTAACTGGCACTGTTGAGGTTACATCCCTTGGAGTATTCTGAGAAATTGAAGTGTTTGATTTACTAAGAGTTTCCTTCTTCGCATGACTACTTTGTGGAATCGTTTGTCACCGGTTATTTCCCGGACCGACCTAGGGAACTTTAAGTAACGAGCTCACTCCTTTTAAAAAAACGGCAATGCACCTGCAATTCCTCTGGTGTTTTTGTAGTTGTTCATGGCCGGTGTTCGACACTTACCGTCAGGTGAGCCGCACGCTCGTTTTCCTCTCTTCTATATAAAAAAGCCCAATGAATCTAGAGGTTTAACAGATGGGGTATTTTATTGTTGGAAAACTTACAAGGAGTAGGGGGGTTGTTAAATTTTGCTATCGTCGACTACTTTGCAATGTGGTCAATACTAAATGTAATGGAACTTGTGTTTCATATTTCACTCTAAAATGGAGTGTCAATAAAAAGCTACTAAGTTGTGTGTTTATGAACTACTACGAGTAAATTTACTAACGAATCGATTATCAATCGAATATATTAATGATGTGTTTTCAGAGGGCCTATTCAAAGTCGGCCTGACAACTCATTGGTACGAATCTGCTGATAAGACATAATATACCAGGCATCATTGTAGCTCCATGTTTTGAATGTACTTTATTATAAATGGCCATTTCATGATATGTAAATAAGGTACAATATAAAACAATTTCGAGTATGGGAATCTGTAAGCCTGAAATACTCGTTTCATAAGACATTTAATTAACATAACATGATTCTTTTATCGCATTACGAAAACCCCCTAAATTTGTATTTCATTGACATAATTGACTTTGTAAAAAACAATATGTAAATAACATGGTGTGGGTTAAATGATAACTATTATTTAATTAAATTAATTGTTAACTAGGATGAACGATGTGGAAACGAAATACTTACGATTCGAAGACGAGAAATTCAATGCAAATTACACGAGCACCAACAACGATACAAACGTATTCAACGAGACAACGGAACCACTAATGCTGGATGATGCAACCGCTGACCCAACTTCACCAACGACAATGAATCCAAACCTTACCGTCATAGGCACAATGGTTAAAGCAGCACTAACTATACAGAATATTACTGTAGGGGAGGAACCATTTGAACATTCTTATTATATATACATTTGGGCGAGTGCTATACTTGGATGCATATTGCTTACAACTGAAAGGTCAGTACCGCTTGTTTTTGTATGAAATTTAAACGCTAAACAGTGCGTAAATCTAGAAAACTGTTTGGTTATATCCAATATTAAACATAATATTTGCACCAAAACCAACAGCGTACGTAGTTGACGCTCAATTACTGTTAAAACAACACGTCTTAAGAAACAATTCGTACAACCGGCTGTCTAAAGGTTCCTTCACTCCTTTCATGTACCTCGTGAGTTTTGGTGAAAAAGTAGAACCCACTTATTCTTTTTCTGCTTTTATTCCATTGTGATAGAATGTATTCGCTTACCACAGGAAGGCTATTAGCTAAAATAAAGATGTTTTGTGTTCAATTAATGCTAAAATTTCATCATTATTTATACTGGTATTAAAAGTCTCTGCACCAAAAATTCCTTTAATATGGATTGTGGTGCTTCTTTATTGTCATTCTTATGTTTTAGGTACTAACGTAGTATGACTAGTAAGATAGGAAACTCGTATTAATTCACAATTTTTTAAGTATTTATTGGGAATTTTTACCTATGAGATAGTGTATTACATTGGTTATTAAATTATCAATGAAATTATACAAAAACACAACAATCGCAAGTAACTTAAGAGATTTTCTATTGGCCCGTCAAGTTCTCTGTACAGTTAGTCGTGGCTAATATTTATAATGTAATATATTTAAAACGTAGTAATTTTGTTTGTAATAATATTTTATAATTATTTCAGATCTCTGCTGTTTCTTTGGATATGCATGCGCAGTTCTATTAAGTTGCACAATTCAATGTTTAGTAACATTCTTGCGGCCACAATGCGCTTCTTTGACACTAACCCATCAGGACGCATTCTAAACCGATTTTCCAAAGACATGGGCATTGTTGATGAGATACTACCGAGAATGTTCTTGGACAGTGTGCAGGTAACGTTGTAAAGCTTCTAATAGTCTAATAGGCATAATTTTAGTAGTCTGTACATGTGCGTTTTGAATAAAACTAATTTTAACGGATTTAATCGTGCTATTTTCTAATCTCGACGTTTCAAATACTTTATAGCTCCCAAGCAAGCGGGTGACGGGCGAACTGTGCCCCACCGCGATAAAATCCGTAAAGATTAGTTTTACTCATGATTTTTATATTATTGTCAATACGCACCACACGTTTTTATCAGTATTTGACAATATATCGATGAAAGTAAATAACGACTGAAATGTGTAAACAATAGTTAAATATATACTTACTATTATTATACTCTGACTTATGCATCTGCTGCTGCACTTTGATCCTTGTTCATTTTGGAATATTATAGTTTTGAGTTGAGTATAGTATGAGTTTAAGCTTTCTTACACTGTGGTGGGCGCACTGCTCCATAGCGGTTGAAGTAAGCCTACAAGGAAGAGAATTACTGCAATATTGATAGTCAGACTTAACACTTTAAAGTAGACTTAAGAAATAATAATGTCCTCCAGACTGAATTTCGTTCACGGCGGCCAGTCTCGACGGAGATAAGCCATCTGCGCAGAACAGCATCATATCAGGCGCAAAACCAACTTTACGTTAACTCCGAGGCACGGCTGATACATCACTAACATCCTCACGCCTTTATTACTAAAATTTTCGTGACAGAACTGATTTTCAGCTCGACCCGGATTCGAACTCGGGACAGGACCGGGAACGTGATCAGCAGCTGTGCTTATCACCACTTGACCAACGAGGTAGTCACCAAAGAAAACTACTTTAAGGAAACCGTTAAAATTTCAATGGTAAATGTTAGTTTAGTGATATTGTGTTTTTATAGGTGTTTATGGTTATGCTGGGAATTTTAGTAATGGTGGCCATAGTGAACCCGTACATGTTGCTGACGACCGCTGTCTGCGGCGTATTTATGTACATGTGGACTATGGTTTATCTCAGCACAGCGCAAGCTGTTAAGAGGTAAGTTTTTTGTATCTTTTATGACATGTGGCCGTGAAGGAAAAGGGGAGATCTCCCGCCGGGCAAGATGTTCTGCCCGGGGAGTGGCCAACACTCCGTGTGATAGTTCGGAGATGTTCTATATATACTGTTTATGATTCGGAATGTTGATAGCGTGATTTAGGATTCGGTGTATTTCGCTTGTGGCGCGACGACAGCGCCGCCACATCACCCCCCTGCTCAGACCGGAGGTCGATAGTGCAGTCGAGTTGTAGACGAATATGCAAGTGCCAGGAGATTGCCTTGTAGTCTGCGGTGAGTCGAGAAGAAGGCAAGTAATCTGCGAGAGTGCCGTGAAGCAGAGGCGAGCAGTAAGGCTCAGAGCCGTGCCGAACACTGTATGGCGCAGAGAGTAGCTTGAAGGAACAGGAAGCATTATTATTCCAGTGCTGCGATGAACCTTGTTAAGCTAGATGGCTTGCAGGATATGAAGACTGCAGACGATATCTGCTCGGGAGCGAATGGGTGGGGTATTCTATGACGATGATGAAGCTTGAAGTTTCCGAAGGTTGTTTGGTTGCGTGTTCAGATCACGTCGGATGGTCACCACTGTGGCCGTGGTAGTAAAAGGGGAGATCTCCCGCCGGGCAAGGTGTTCTGCCCGGGGAGCGGCCGACTCTCCGTGTGATATTTCGGAGATGTTCTATATATACGTGTTTATGATTCGGAATGTTGATAGCGTGATTTAGGATTCGGTGTATTTCGCTTGTGGCGCGACGACAGCGCCGCCACATGACACATCGTTCAAATAAACAATATAATGGAAAACCCGAAAATACACCAATAGTACAAAGAGACGAACTAGTTACTAGATTAAGAGTTTTAAGTAAAAAAGGTTGGGAACCAAATATTTATTATTTATAAATACAGTTTTTACTTTATAATTGCTGAAATTCGTATTAAAGTTTCGTTTCGTCATTGACGTTGATATCACTTGAACGATAACGAATTTCTTAACGAATATTGATAAATTCGTCAGACTACTTAATCGTGGAGCACACATACTATTGGACATCAAAATCAATATGTAATTTTATACTATAGATTAATTTTCAATATTGATAATTCTTGTTTATAAAAACTTACTGCGACCGGACTTATTTGGTATGTTTTATGAATGATAGATATGATTCACCATGATTACGCGAGTGACTTGGTTATGGTAATGTTGGCTTATGAACAGGAAAGCACACACACGACTCGCGCGTTGTGCGATTAACATCGGTTATATTTGTATAAATTTTTTGTAAAAAATTTAATTATTTGTTATAGAAAATTGTTTTTTTTTCTATATAAAATTGATCTATCTTTTTGTATTATTTATGAATTAAACAGATGGATGGAAAAACGACAAAGTGATCCTATAAGGATACCCCCTTACCTTAAAAAATAACAAATGGAACTTGATTACTTACCATACCTTCTATATATAGACCTTCCAATGTTCCAAGAGTATCCGACGTTATGAACGTGACAAATTCACTGTGTTCTTCGTTTAATGAGTAAATTCAGGAGATAATTTACTGAAAAAGGAGCAAACGAGCACGCAGTTCACCTGATGGTAAGTGACTACCGCCGCCACTGAACTTTAACCAAAAAAGAAGGATTTTTGCTTGAAGGTCCCTAAGTCGGATCGGTCTGGAAATATCGTTGGTGGTAGTTGATTCCACGAAGAAGTTGTGCGAGGAAAAAACTTCCTGTAAGTCGCACTGTGGTGGACCGCCAATCATCCAGATGATATGGATGGTATTGTTGCGCGCCATTGGCGTCATCTAGTAGCAGAACTAGGAGAGCATTGTAGAAAATTCCATACTAGAACTTTCCCACTAGCGCCATCTAGTATCGAGTAGCAGAACTAGGAGAGCTTTCTAGAAAATTCCTTACTAGAACTTTCTAGACCTAGTCGGTTGGTTGGGACCGGTATGTACTCAAACATTCTAGATGTTTCAGTAGAAGAGGTCCTATATAAGACCGTTATTGACCGCGACGGGAGTCAGTAATGAATTGGTGATACAAGTGAACACTTCGAAGCGACATAATTGCGAACTAAGTGTTAATTGTGATTAATTATTAGTGTGTTAAGTTGTAATTGGTGTTCGGTAATTAAATTGACAATTTTGGTAATTCAATAAGCAGTTTTAACTGTCACGAACTCTCAGCTCGTAACAATTGCTGTCAGAAATGAGATAAAATCATGCCGATTTTACTTAACGACGGCAAGAGTGGCGTCCTTAATCGAAGTCAACGCAGCAGGAGACGGACCAGAGACAATTTTTTGGTGTAACGCCGCAGACGTCAGAGAGCCAGCTGCTGGCCACCGAGGCTGGCCCGTCAGCAGCTCCTACATCTACAGCACCTGACTTAGGTGCTCTAATGATGATGCTGCAGAAACAAGCATGCCGACAGGAGGAAGAGGCCTGCCGACAGGAGGAACAGGCCCATGGGTTGGAAGAACAGCAGGTGGAATAAGCCCACCGACAGGAGGAACGGGCCCGTCGTTTGGAAGAGCAGCTCAAACGTGATAAGGAAGAGCAAATACCTTACATGAAGGACCTTCACGCTACCTTCGGGAAAGAGAAATAGGAGTGAAGATTAGGGTTGCTAAATGTGACAACCGCCTTTTGGAAGCTGAAACCCGAATCGACCAAGTAAACAATCGGGTCGACAACGTGTTGGCTGACATGAAGTAATCGCTGGGTGACCTCAAACTTGGGGATGGAACTACAGCTCCCATAGTAGCTTCTACACCTTCGCTGCGTGGATTCAAATTGCCGCCGTTCGACGAGACTTCTTCCTGGTCGGCTAACAAAATCCAGTTCGAAGCTGTTATGAAGGCGAACGGCTGGAATAAAAGTCAGGCCATGACTGCTCTCACACTAGGCCTACGCAACCAGGCCTTACTTTTTCTGGATATTTTACGTGGTAGAGCCACGCTGCAGCTATATTATGGTTGTAGCACAAATCGGTCGGCTCGTTCGGGGTAGGACCACGCTCTCACATAATACCAGCGTAAAATAGCAGCTTAACACTGCTTTGTTTATTATGGTGAGTGTAGAGAACCGGAGACCCTTTTTACTGAAAACGAGACATTCCAACTTAGTCCTCAGGAGTGGCAACGCATTTACATTTTAATTCTTAATCGAGGATAGATGTAGATGCCTATGGGTCACAGCATCCACTTATCATTAGGTGGACTGTGTGCTTGTTTGTAACTCTTATGCTATAAAAAAGCTTAAGGACGAGTAGCCCTTGAGGCATTGGAGGCGAGATATGGCGACGCTCACCTGGAACACGTCTTTCGTTCGCAGCTTAAAGATCGCGTGCAACGCATCAACGAAAACATGCAGCAGTGCGAAGCGAAGAAAATGCATGCGAAAGCAAGAGAAATGCACCCTTGAGGTGGAGAAGCTGGTTCGTAAAGCCTACCGGTCTGTATCTGCGCTCATTGCAGGGAACCTGATGCAGACATTCATAGACAGCATCCGCGACCTTGAAGTCTGAGCTTCTGTGAGGCTCAGGTACCACGAGACGCTTAAGGACGCCTTGATCCATGCACTGGAGGTGGAAGCCGTGCAGCAGGATCACCGTTCCCATTCGTCAGGGAGATTGCAGCAGCTACAGTTCGCGACCGCAATAAAGGGATACAGCCCTAAGTGCTATGGCTGTAGGGAAAGGGGCCATCTTCGATCCAGTTGTAAGCGAACTGTAGAAAGTGTAGGTGATTGATTTCGAGAAGGCATTGTGGCTAACAGCTCTGGCCAACAAAAGTCAACAATGTATCATTTCGGGCTCCAGTTCCCTACACTTAAAACAATTTTCGGGATTTGGTCGGTTTTCGACTCATTCGCAATTCACACCAATCATGAGTTAAAAAGGTTGTCAATTTTTTGTTATTAGTTGTACCGGAACATTCAAAAACAGATGAATGAACCATCGATACTTTAAGTGTACCAACTCAAACAAACGAATCATTCATGATTGACACATGTCTAGTTCCCCCGTGACTGTAAAGCACGCGAAACTTCGGAAATTAAAAATAAGTTAATTAAACAATATAAATAGTTTTATTTAATGTGTAGTGTTCGAGTAAATATAAGAAATCATTAATCACTTTGCCAATAACATAGTTACTGGCAAATATTAACGTACTAAATAATACTTAGATTAACGTTCGGCAAACGTCGTAATTCGAAATTTGTATCGATTTTGACGAACATGTTATAAATATTATGTAAGGTTCACTTTTGTTAGCGGGAATCGTTCTGTGAGAAAAACGTCATAGCTCTGAAGTGATGTATTTGCAAACTCAAAGCAAATAACTTGCAACCGTCTATAATAGTATCAAATGAATTTTTATACTAATATAAAGACACTAACGTGCATACGTAAAGTTGTTGATTAATGCAGCATATACAGGTATATATTTTTAAATGCTAATGTCTAACTTTAAGGTGGTTTTAAAAATGTGTAATATATACTGTGAATTATTTAAATGGACGTATTGCTAAAAATGTTATCTACATATTTTTGATAATATTTGAAAACAATTGTTTTAACAGAGTAGAAGGAGTGTCTCGAAGTCCCGTATTCTCACACGTATCGGCCAGTATGGCGGGTCTGACCACAATCCGCGCGAGCAATGCTCAAGAGATGCTCCGTGTACAATTCGACGACAAACAAGACGTGCACACGGCAGCATGGTAAGCATTGGAAAATCTAGTAAGGTGCATGGTGCAATTACAAAAATGAATGTAAATATAAAATACCCATAAAAATACAAAATGAATCGGAATATATTCCGATTTATTTTAATTTCTAACAAACGCAGCGACATATTATATTTTTAAGCAATATATGATTAGAAGCCATTTTAATCACCCATCATCCACCAGTTGACGTTAGTTGATAAAACTAGCCTGCCATGAATAATGTCGAGTTTTCTGAAAAGAGTCATTTCGCAAAATTTTTATCGTTTGAATTAACCCCAAGTACTTTTTATCAGCAATCTGGTAAGTTAAATGAAAAATAAATTATATCCGACTTAGGTAATAGTTTTTGTTCAAATGTTAAGGTAATTAATGATACCTAATTCGCGTCTAAACGCGAAGTTAGGTATTATTATTTAGAATAACCCCTATAGGGGAATTTCGACTGGAGAAATATATTTATAGTAAAAGTCATTGATTATCGATCTATGATGATAGAAAATTTATGTTTACTCTATATTATTAATGCGATAGTAAATGAACTGATTGTTTCGATTAATAATGTAATAGATTTTCAGAGCTTATAACACTTTATAACACCGATAAACACAAACAAAAAGATTATAATAATAATACTATTATTATTTTATTAATGATTGGGCTCGCTCTTGACATCCATTTTAAATATATTATAAATGACCCATTGCGCTGGTGACCGCGAGTGCGACTATGTACTTCGATCCCCAAATTGACCAAAGAGTGATTGAGTTTTTCCTTTAAATCTAGCAGCACTGTCTGTTTTGTTAGGTACATGTTAAGATGAGTAAAACTGTTGATATTAGTGATTTGTTAACTCTTTATAAGAATGACATCAAACTGCGATCAAATTATATTTTTTAACTTTCTTTGATTGTTGATTTTCCATTCTTTTGTAAAACATTAAAACTAGCTGTTAGTACTGCAAAAGAGAAACCCTGTTATCTCCTAAAAAACGTAAGTATAAATGTAATGTGATTAATATCTAGTAATGAATATGATTTAAGGGAATATAAAGTTCTTTTCTGAATAATATTTTTACTGTTATATTTTATACTTATTATAAATTGAAAACATTGCAGTTACGTTAGCAAATGGTGAGATCCATATTTTCTTTGTGGGGTTGTTTCGAAGCTGAATATGTTCTAACCAATATTTTCGAAGTAATAATAGGGATAATTCCGAATTTTAATATGAATTTTTAATATAAGCCTTATATCTAGTTGTAATAAAACACCCCTTTAAAATCAATCGGTATTATCACAGGATATTTCGCGGTATCCCCTGTATGTGTAAGAAAAATTACACTCATGTTTTAAAATTCGTTATAGAAAATACTAAGCATGTTATCCAGGACACCTTAACATAAATAACAATGCCATTTACTCAAAGAGTTTCATTGCCAACTTAAACTTACTATAAGTAATTTATCAAAATATACAAATACAAATGCCGTCATGATACGAACTTGAAGTACGCGGTTTATAAGATCGCGAACTTACTCGACGTCCGTGACTCACGTGAAGTTTACTCATAGACAGATGAAGAAGCTTTGTGTTGTTTAGAAATTATATCGTATTACATTTTAAAAACTAAAAAAAGACGTACTCGAAAAGTGTGGGTAAAAATCTGGCTTACTAAAAGAGAACGTTTATCACGTTTGAATTTCTTTCTTCTTGACGTTAACAATAGTAGCATCTCTTTACACTTTACATATAATTTCTAATAAATTATTGTACGCTTGAAACTTCATATTTTTGTCTCTGTAATCGTTGCTTCTAATTTTATAATTTAAAATAGAGCAGGTAAAATAAGGTTTGGTAAAACCAGCGTTTGATGTTGAATTATTGCCTTGTTCAGTAGAGTCGGTTGTTTAAACTGTATAACCGTGACTGTATCGTTTTGTAAGGTGTTTTTGTAAAGTTTTATCTCTAAAGAAATTAACAGCTTTGAATAAAGGTAAACAGCGCACAATGAGCTCATTGAGTTCTCATGGACAAAATGTCGTTTTGTCCGTTACGTATGTATGTCATTTTGTCCTTATAGCGTTATAAAAAATCGAAATTCAACAATAAATTCACAATGAATATTATTTACGGAAAAAGTTATTCAAATGCAGTAATAACTAACTAAGGGGTGTGTGTAATCAATGTACAAGTAAGATAAAACTATGAAAAATATAATTAAAAAAAACCCTCTGCAATCAAAAAAAAACCTTGTAACTTACAAATTTTGGTCGTCGGCTATGACACCCGAACGAAAGACAGGCGCGAGTTCATGTTTTGACAGATTGGTATGAGCCGGTAGAGTCACGTGATTTATAGTTGTCTAGGGCGGGTTCGAATTGACAGAATATGAAATATGATGCCTGTGTCATTTTGTCCGTGTATGTCATTTTGTACGTACTTCCCATATATCATCGTATAGGTATTGGGTATACTGACAACTTCTCTCTAAACCTATATTTTTAAGACAAGTTGCACATTACATTAAAAAAGTCATCATCCAAATAGCCCTTTACAAGCTACTGCTAAAATATCCGATTAACAGTCCAATTGACTCAGTAATACTTTAAAAATATTATTTCCGCTAACACCATTAAAATCGTAAACTGCATGCAATACACACTTAAGAATTGATTTTACCACATGCCTTGGAAAACTTCGGAACTTTGATAGTACACGTGTAATACATACATGTTTTTAGACTTCTCTAAGATACCAGTTCCAAATTATGTACTCGTATAACTAAAAAAACCTTTATTTCAGGTACTTGACACTAACATCAAACACCGCTTTCTCGATATGGTTAAGTCTCATATCGGCCGTCTATGTCATCGTTGTGGCCTATACGTTCCTTTTGTTGGATGATGGTAATATTTTATATATTAGGTTATTGGAAATTAAACTAAAAACATTAATGTATATAATTATATACTGTCACATTAATCAAACCAAGCTAAATAATAAAAATAAGCTATAACTAATAAAATTTATTAAAGTTACAGCCTATACACGTCCCACTGCTGGCCACAGCCCTCCCCTCATGTCTGAGAGGGTTTGTAGGACAAGGAAGTGTCCGCCGCGCTGCCCCAATGCTTGTCTTTGATATATATATATTTTTTTTTATTTCTCAGACATGTAGGTTTCCTTACGATGTTTTCGAGCACGTAGTAAATCAACACTTAAAATTGCAATTGACAATTTTATTGGTGCCGGCGGGGATCGAACCCAGGTTCTTCGCGAACTGTGAAAATTACAGCGAGCGCTAACCATCTGAGCTACCACGGCAAAATTTATTAGGAATAAAAAATTAAATAATAAGGAATTTATACAACTCCTTATACATCCCTAGACCTAGGACAAGATCTGGTAGTGTTTGTATCAGTTATGCACCAACTAGTCTTATCAGATTAAATAACATCTGGATTCCATTTTATGAAACTGATCTCGGAACGTTGAATTACTAAGTTATTAACAAAATAGAGCAGTGTAACGCACCCTTACCTTTTAGATAAATGACTGTTTATCTTTAATATTATTTTTTATCCTCTTCATCATAAAACTGTATGAAATCTACTTCAGTGAAATCCTATACATATTGGATATCTTACTGGCTATTGAAAAAGGCTAGCAACAAATAAATAAATAATGAAGTAGTGGTGTGTGCCATGTCCACACCACTACTTTTTATTAGTTGGACATGGCCGCCTTCCGTTGTAGTGTAAGTTTGCCTTAATCGCCGTGCTTGGTAAGTCGTTACGCATCTTTAACGCTGCTGCCTGTCGCCGTCGATGTCGATGGTATAGTGCCATCCGGCGAAAGCCTATATGCTAAATCATTGCGATTTACCACATACTACTACATCACCACTTATCAACCGGGTAAAATTGTAGTCAAGCACTCAAGTGCTTGACTACAATTTTACATATATTTATGATCATATACTATAGATATTCTTGAAAACGGCTCTACGAATAAAGTAACGAAATCGATGTAAACATTTGGGATATGCAAGGGCTTTAAGGGGCTGAAAAATCGATCTAGCTAGATCTCATTTCTGGAAAAATGCATTTCCTCCGTGTTTCCACGCACAAAGCAACAAAATTAACTTGCCTGCACAATATGTTTGGTACTTTCGCGATAGAGATTTAAAAAAAAAACTGTCGACCGGGCTGAATGATATGGGTCGGCTAGACCAGGGAAGGACCACACTTACAGAATACCAGCGTGAAATAGCAGTTTATCATTAAAAAGCTAAAGTTATGTTTTGTATGGTAAGTGTAGAGCACCAGAGACCTTTTTTACTGGAAACGAGGCATTCCATCTTAGTCCTCAGGGGTGACAACGTATCTGCATTTTGATTATTAATCGAGGATAGATGTAGATAACTATGAGCCACTGCGTCCACTTACCATTACGTGGACTGTGTGCTCGTTTGTCACCTTTATTCTATAAAAAATAAAAGACAATAAATGCTCAAAGTTGTTTTGAGTCTTTATTGATGAGAATTGGCGTAGAAGTTGAAATTGACAATTAATGTATCATGTTCTAGAGTTCGCTACTGTCGAAGACTTTCAAGCGCACATCAATTTAAAATATTCCAGGTCTATCGAGTAATTAAAAAAACACATGAACACGGCACAGAAATATTTAAACAACACATGAATTCCAAAGAGCATATCAATATGTTCTTAATTCCTCATTTACATTCAGCCCCTGCCACTGCTCCTCGCGCTGCCGGCAATACTTCGCTAAATACTGCCGTAGCAGGATCGCGGGAAGTGTGTATTCACACTCTGCCCTACCACTCACATCACTTTCGGCCATATACAAAGGTACTCTGTGCTTTCGGCTTACGACTATGGCAGATGTCGAAATAAGTCATCCGCGCTGTGTCTTCATGCAATACAAAATTATGTTAATAATTTAAAAATATATAAAGTTCAAAAGAAGATAGATGGATAGATAGAAAATTTATTTGCTTAAAAAAATGGTACGTAAGATGATCAATGACGTAGAACTGACATGTTTTGCCATAATTGGCATGCAAAAATGATATGAAATACAGCTAATTACACAAACCCAATGTTACATTTTAAAATTATTGCATAGGTACAAACATTCTTTTTGAATTCAAATATTATGTACAATTAAATATTTATACAGATCCACTCTATTTGAATTCTTATACAGTAAATTGTTCATATAACTTATGAACAATAATGTAATTGAATTATTACATTATTGTTACATAAATAATATTAAATATTATATGAGATTAGTTAAACTATTATTATTTTAATAATTACACTACAGTATAAATTAATTCATAATTTTAATTACAATAAAATCATAATTTAAAAATCTCAGGCTATTATGCAAATATTACCATTTAACTTATTTTACAATTTAATAAATAAATAATCAATATGAGTTACTAATGGTTTATATAATGATTTCTTATACACTCACCGGCACGGAAACTTGGCCACTCGTGAATTTGCTGATTATTTGCACTGAAACGTTTTTTTAACAGTAAATTAAGGGTAGATGCATTCAATAAGTGTCTCTAATGGTTTTAGAACATAGAAATTTAATGTTTACTTCACCGAAATTTTTCTTTTCAAGATAACATGTTTTCACTAAAATTAACATCTTTCCATTGTCACTTTAAAAACACTACAAAGTTAAAAAATTAAGTCTGTTTCTTTATTGTCTATCAGTTTTAATATCGGGTGTTTCCTCCTCTAGCCCTGATAACCGCTTGCATTCGATCTGGCATGCTTTGAATGATGTTTCTGACATCAACTTGCGGTATGCTGTCCCAAGCGGCCAGCGCTGCATTTCGGAGCTCATTTAGAGTTTGTGGCGGTTTGGAGCTGGACTTTATCTTTCTTTTGAGCATACCCCATACATGCTCAATTGGATTTAAGTCCGGGCTACGAGCTGGCCACTGTAATTTTTGCATTCCAACCTCTTCCAGATATTCCTCTACACAATGTGCGACGTGCGGGCGTGCATTATCGTGCATAAGGAGGAATTGGTCGTGTCCAATGAATCCCGAATAAGGCATTACGTGCTCCTGAAGAACTTCCTCGATGTATCGAGTAGCTGTAAGCCGATTATCGACGATGACCAACTCTGTACGTGCGTCGGAACTTACACCTCCCCATACCATTATTGAGCCTCCATGGAAACTCACAGTTTGGGTGGTGGTAATGGGTAGAAACCTCTCTCCTCTTTTTCTCTACACTCGTTCTCGACCGTCTGGAGCACGTAAAGCTATTCGACACTCATCTGTGAACAACACTCTAGCCCATTGCTCGTGGGTCCAATTGACATGTTCTCTTGCGAACTGAAGTCGGGCTACTCGGTGCTGTCTGAGAAGTTCTGGACCTCGTGCTGGTCTACGAGCTTTTAAATTCACTTCCTCCATTCGTCTTCTCACCGTACGCTCACTAACATTAACGCCTCTTGCGATTTGGAGCCGCTGGCGTATCTCAACAGCGGTCAGGTAGCGGTTTCTCAAAACCTCCATAACAATAAAACGATCGTCCCGGGCCGATGTGCACCTTACGCCCCCACTGCCTGGCCTGCGGGTGTAGCGGCCTGTCTCCTGGTATCGTTTCAGTGAATACTGCATTGAGGACCGTGGTACGTTAAGCACAATAGCAACTTCACGCTGTGTCAGCCCTTGGTCAATTACTTACCTTTGTTTACTTGTCCAACGTGTTCACAGGCTTATTATAATATTAATATTACATATAACGTGTTGTTCGGTTTAACACTTCGATTTATAAATATTATTGCTAACACGACACAGCAAAATTTAAAATGAATTCTGAATCAAACTGAGTAGGTAATTAATTAATAGAAAAATTAAAATAATATGATTTTTGAAGCCAGAGACTGCAACTAACTGTAAGACTAAGAGAGAGACGGCGGCTCAATTCAGTCGGCCATTTGCATTTATATTTTTTATAGGTTGGTTACACTGACCTTTATATCTCTATAATATTGGCTGCCTTTTCAACCAGTTATACCACTTTTTGGCGAAACACCTTGCGAGTGCTAAATAATGTAATTGAAAAAGAGAAAAAAAATAGTTATTAACCGTAGAGAGAGGGGCGGGCGGTTGATTGTTTGCCTTTTCGATGCATCGAAAAATAAACATCGATGTATACTCGATGTTTAAAACTTAACAATACATCGGTTTGATTCGATGCATTGTTAGTAACAATACATCGAGTATTTTTAAAACATCGATGTATATCGTCTACTCCTACTGATCACTTCCCTGCCCAACAGGGCTGAATGTAAATGGGGCATATGGGAGCGATGAGCGATTACGATTTACGACTGATTCGTAAAATCGTAAAACAAAACGTACTTGAAGCCTCGCGTGACGTCAGAAGGACGAGAATTTATTGCATGAAATAAAAATATATAGTATGTAACAAATGCATTTTATGCAATTACACGAAAAAAGTAATTAATTTTGAAAAGTCGCTGAAATAGCGCTAGGTAATATTTAAGTGATGTCTTTTATTACATTTTTTGCTTAATAAACTGCACCACGAATAAAAAAAACGTTTTGGACGAAAGTAAGAGGTAATTTGGTGGTTTTTTTCTATCGTGATAATTTTATTCTATTATGTTTTTAATGAATGGAGTACCTCGGAATTACGATGCAATATCCACATTAATAATTTTTGTTACTTTTCTACCTCTAAGAGTTTTTTTAACTCTAAGAGTTTCAATTTGTCTTAATCCCACCCCCCCCTTCAATTTTAATTTTTCACCCTTTCCTATACCTTGTTTTTAGAAATGTTGCCAAACCGAAGTATTTCTAATCGCAGCCACGTGAAAAAATAGTAATTATTATTTTACGTGATAAGCACAAAACAAATCAACGATCTAGATAAATTTATTTTTACTATATATATCTAAGTTTTGATACATGTGTTCATAGTGATTACACTTATGTATTTTATAATAATTATTCTCTATGATTTCTGTGGGCCAGTCCATTTCTTTTTCCATTTATCAATCTGTCGGGATATGTGAGTTACCATAGTTCTAGAATTCTATCATCGTTAATTCACAAATTTGAGCTTCCCGATACGGCCTTATTTGAAATAGTCCACCTTGGCTCCACGTCTCACTAACAACACGCACTGGTTGTGTATATTGTGTATGGACTAGACAATATAATAATGATGGTTGTAATCTCCGGAACGCGGACCGGTCATACCGGAATCGTCAGCTGATTTCTTGGTCAAAGTTAGTTACTCGTACATTTTGTCGAGGTAAACAAATATTCGTTAACAACTTCGTGGGACATAATTTTCGTATTGCTCATATTCATTTTAAGCCATTCATTTAAATATGCCTTTGAGTTAATTGCGCATAGTGCTAAAAGTCTACAATGAAATATTTTAAATATAAATTTAGACAATTTGTCAGGGGCGATAAGACATCGCTTTTACATCTTTACTTATAAAATCTTCCATCGAGGGACTGTGGAATTAACTATAAACCACGTAATATGGGAGTAATTTGTGAACGTTTGAAATTCCTTTGCACGTTAAAATCTACATGCATACTAGTGATTATATTTAAATGTTAAGTGACATGCAGCTTTCGTATTCTGCGTAAAATATATACACATAATATGTATTCTATTGTAATATTAAAATTGCAGGTACAACGAAGTCAGGTAACGTAGGATTGGCACTGTCTCAAGGCTTGATCCTTGTGAACATGGTGCAATACGGCGTCAAGCAGGCGACGGAGGTGGTATCTCAGATGACAAGTGTAGAGCGCGTGTTGCAGTTCACGTCGCTGCCGCAGGAGCAGACGGCCGGCCCGGCGCCACCGCCCGGCTGGCCGCAGCGCGCCCGGCTCGTCTTCAAGGACCTTTACCTGCGTTACGACATGGAAGCCGAACCGGTACTGAAGAATCTAAACATTGTCATCGAGAGCGGTTGGAAGGTAAGGAACACACGAAATGTTTTATTTATATTGTGCATCCACAATATCAATAAACAACAATATAAACAGTTTTTTATTTTTACGTTTTTTCTACATTTTTTATAATAAAACTAGCCGTAGTATTTGTTCTGTCTTTTCTGGTCGACGTATCGACAAGTTTCACTCGTCGTTTAACAGTGTGATATATCTGTGGTGACTCCCACTAGATGGAATGACGGACTGGTAAGATATGCAGGAAGCCGATGGATGCAGGTGGCTCAGAACCACTTGCATCCAGGCGAAGCCTCCATAGAAGCCGAAAAGCCAGGCTTACCATTTTAATCTGCTCAACTAATAAAATAACTCGTAAATGAGGGGAGGGGGTTCCCGTGTGCTCCTCTGTTATATACAGGTCATGACCTCGTAGCATATATGTAACGTCAACCCTTGGCAGTTTGCTTTCAATTCAAAATACACCGATTCGTGTTCTCTATGTCACAAAGCGAACACGCAATGGACTGCCAAAATTTATGAAAGCATCGAGTTGATTTGAGCTATTAGTCGTCTCTCTCGCACGCATTTTACCGGGCTTTCGAGAAGACGATCGCTCCCTTTCTAACCTATGGCAAAATGTTAAATAATGAAATATAACTACGAAATTTTTATATAGCAATTACTATGGAACCAAAAGCTGGGCTTTGCTCTGAAGTTGTTTAGGAGTGCGCTGGCGTGCGGGCGATACGTTCGCAAGTTCACTTCACATTTCAATTTTTATGTTTGTTTTTGTTGTCTGTTGAAAATTTATGCTTTTTCGAAAATTTTTAGTGAAAATGAAGGATAATATCGGAGTACATAGTGTAGATCAGAGTGTATTTATAGAGGAGTGTTCCTTGTGATTATTGAAGTGTGTTAAAGTGCTAATCGGCAGGAAAAGGTAAAATCTTTAAACTTTGTTGAGAAAATACACAAGGTCAAGAGCGTCTTTCGGACTTATCAATTATCGCAATTGAAAAACAGTTATTGGTACAATTAAAATGTTCACCAACATTTTACGCAGACGTAATCAAATCTACATACATAAACACTCACGCCTGTCACCCAGAGGGGTAGGCAGAGACTACAGACTTCCATTAGCACGATCTTGACATACCTCTCTCGCCTCTTCCACATCCATATACCTACGCATACATGCTCGTCGGTTAAGGGTACTCTTAATTTGGCCCTTTTTTAGTATATCGCCAATTTGGTCGACAAACTTTCGCCTAGGACGTCCCTTTCCGACTCTTCCATTCACTTCTGCAACATATATTTGCTTTGTTAGTCTTTCTTTATTCATTCTTTCTACATGGCCAAACCACCGAAGCATTCCTTTCTTAATCCTGGTCCACCGCATCATCTTGCAAACCACACTCTTCTTTTATCATACAGTTTCTCACCTTGTCACTCAGATTCAGCCCTAACATACTCCTTAGCGACCGCATTTCTACTGCATTTATTCTACTCTCGTGCTTGTTCTGCCACACCCAACTTTCACTCCCATACGTTAAAGTAGGGACTAATACAGCAGTGTGAATTGCCATACGAGCCTTTTTTGACACATTCTGACTTTTCACAATAGAGTGTAGAGCCCCATTTACTTTATTTCCTGCATTCACTCGTCGTTCAATATCCTTATCATGCCTCCCATCCCTGCTAAATACGCAGCCCAAATATACGAACTCATCCACTTGCTCGATCAACTCCCCTCCTATTCTTATTTCCCATACCGTTTTGCTTTCTTCTCTTTCAAAAACCATCACTTTCGTCTTACTTGCGTTCACTTTCATTATCCTTTCTTTTAATGACCTCTTCATTAATGTAACCATCATTTGCAACTCGGCCGCCGACGACGCAAGTATGACTTGATCATCGGCGTACAAAAGGCATTTGATGGTTAATTCACCCATTCTTAACCCGCATTCTTCAACTTTAAAATTTTCCGAACTGCTGTCCATAAATAGGTTGTGCAGCCACGGGGAAGCTACACAGCCCTGTCTGACACCTTTGTGGATTCCAAACCAATCCGAGTAGGCCCCGTTGATCCTAACACAAGCACTCGAGACCCTATACAGAGACTTTAATGCCTGTATTAAACCAGCGCTCACCCTAAATGAGTTCAGCGTTTACCATAACACATCCCTGTCCAGTCTGTCATAAGCATTTTCCAAGTCCATGAACGCACAAAAAACTTTTTAGTTTTTCGCCAAAAACTTCTCCGCGATCATGCGCATGGAAAAGACTTGATCTGTACACCCCATTCCCTTTCTAAATCCCGCTTGCACATCCCAAATTTTTTCATCAGTTTCTTTCATAACTCTTTCAATTAGTACCTTAGCATACAGTTTTCCCACAATGCTAAGAAGGCTGATACCACGGTAGTTTTTACAGTCCTGCTGTGACCCTTTTCCTTTATGTATTGACTATCACGGCTTTGCACCAGTCTCCCGGTACCCGCTTTAGTTCCCAACATAAATTAAACAAGGTGTACAGCAGGCCTGCCACCACTTCCTCTCCAGCCCTTAGCATTTCGAGTGAAACTCTATCATATCCGGCTGCCTTACCTACTTTCATGCTTTTCATTGCTTTCATTATTTCATCTATACTTATCTCCCTATCTCTTTCATCTTCTTTCGGAATTTCTTTAGACTCAACATTTCATCATTGAGAATATAGCCATTCTCGTCTCGTATCGCATTCAATATAGGCTGTTTTAAATCAAATCTTCTTCCTTAAGAAAGAGACCATTCAATTTAGAATATAAATAATTTGATTTTTTTTAATTTTGTACATTGTTTGTATTTTGTTCATGTATAGTATTGTATGTAAATAACTTTTCTTTCGCTCAAGCAAACCGAAACGGCTTTTTTCAAAGCCACCGAAGGTATGCAATTGCTGATATGTCATACAATCTATCTAGCAGTAGCATACCTTCTGTGTGCTTTGTTAAACACGTCCTCGACAGCACTGAATATGAAACTGAAGTGTGCAGATAGATCAAGATTGGTGTTTTTTTATAAAACTGCTAAAAACGACAAAACCATATCTTGCCCTAGTTTGGAGCACTAGCTCCAAACTAACCAACTTTGTGAACCGTGCTTTGTGGCATTCTTTGGGGGAGGCTTATGTTCAGCAGTGGACTTGTGTAGAGCTGTCTCATTCACAGCTCTAAAGGTAACATATACCCATTGTAAATATGAGTAATTTTGGTCCGTATATACAGAATTTGTTAATAATTTAACTTGACTACAGCGCCACCTTTCGGATGCCAGAATAGATATGAACCATCATCTCAACGAAACGAATGTATTGTGTGAATAATATTATGTCGTCAAACAAGTCATTCAGAAGTTATATGATCGCTAATACACGTACTGACTATTGTACATATAAATATGAGCGTACTGCATGACACTTTTAGATATCTTAATCTCAAAGTGTTCATTAATATTCACTTACGGTACCTTACCTAAAATAGCAACAAAACGCCGCGCGCATATATGTTAATGGTTTACTGTGTGTCAGAAAGTTACGCATTTTAAATTTATCTTTAATCTATAAATACTAATTGTAAAAAAAAAAATTACGCTAGCTGGTTCGATATTGATTTCATTAATTTTAAGAAGGTACAGTATCGACACGAAATATTAATCCACCCCCAATATACTACATATTTTCCCTTTCATAAATTACAAAAAATACGCATGTTTTGCCATCTTTTCCCTTTTCTACGCCACGGACGATATTTCGTGGATGTTTTGAGAGCTTTCAGCACAGAGTAAATAATCTTACTTTAATATAATGTCATATATTTATTTATCATGTCTAAAATAACATTTTTTTAAATTTAATAGTGGAAAAACTAGATATGACATAATTTAATTAAATACAGGAAGAGAAGACAGACACGTAGTGATAAAATTAATATTCGTTTATAAAATTTAGTAAGTTATTTGTTGGGTTTTTTTTATTATTAGAATTTAAAAATTGTTAATAATTATTATTTTTAATTAAACGCTATTTGATAAGTTTTGTAGAAGGGTTTGTTCTCTCTTAGGTGGTCGCTTCGGGTATCTCCAACATACTCGTCCATGTTCGATTCAGTATCGTTTCGTTCATTTGTTAAAACTTTTGTACCTACCTTTACTAATTTGCTTTCTCCGTAATGTCACGTTTTGTTTAGGTGATTATGGTTACAGTATCACTAGTATTTGTCTTCGACATTTTATAAATGCATGCTGATGCTTCCATTTCTTTTTGCTATAATAATTAAAACGTTTTTCTGAGACGTCATGAACTCTTTTTTTAGGAGAGTTTGATTACAAGCAGCACACATCACCTTCTGCTTATATTTATAAGAAATCCTTATAGCTCCTCTACACGATGGGCCAGCGCTGGCCCAGCGAGGTGGCCATGCGATGGTTGAAACGCAACTACACGATGGCGACATTCAGTTGTAATCATAGATTACTGACTATGTACTGGGATGGTTGTAATCGAAACGTTTTTCGAGATGGACGTGGATGAATTAGCCGCTGCGGCTGTAAGGTACAGGCGCCAATAAAGGCCCACTTAATTTCAAAACCTCATAAAATCTTGCAGATAAGTAGAGTAAAGAAGAAACGTAATGGAAGTTGTAATATATTTACTTGAGAAACAAGATATCTAAAAAAAGTAGTACAGCTTTTGGCGTTTTAACACAAATGTAAACACTTTTCAGAAACTTGATATTGGGCTATCTTGGGAAGCTGGTCTCTTAAGATGACCCGAAAAATATTAATGAAAATATATGCATTAGAAACACGTAAACACTTTTAACATAAAACATCAAAATAAAAACACATCCTTCTCATAACTATATTCATAAAAGGTAAAAAATCAAACAAAAATTTAAATGTAGGTCATCTTAAATCTATCAAAATGAAAATCAACTATAAAATAATAACAAACTACCAAATAAAATAAAATTGAACTTTGTGATCACCTTTGAAAGTAACTTATCAAAAATAAAAATAAATCAGTTTCTTTCTATAATTTTTTTATTAATGTCATTCATAGGTGGGCCATCTAAGGAATACTGAAAATTAATTTTGAGATCAATCAAAATATACTTAGATAATTAAAATGAATTAGACGCTACTGTCTTTGAGTGTGTACACTCCTAAAATAACTGAAAAGTATTTAAAAAGTGAATTTACATAACAGCTTAATCAGAACTTTAATTGCACTCTGGATATATAAATTTCTCCTCATCGTCTTTGGTTAAACCCACACAAACTTCATGATACCATTTTTGGCATTGGCGCATATCATCAAATCTATCCACCTTGCATCCATGACAATACCAACCGTGTTGTCGTGGTTTATACGTGTAGTATATGTATATGTGTAGTAGTTCGCCTTGGTATGCCATATGTTTTTCAGCAGCTTTTCGCTGTGACAATTGGCAGCTTTTCACTAGCTGAAGGGCGGATTTCAACTGTGTTTATGTGCATCTCCCCGTTCCCTGCGCCGTATTTTAGTATGTAGAATTTTTAATTGATATGTAGAATAATTAATTGTATGTAGAATATGTAGAATTCATTTTAATCTGCGATAAAAATAGAAAAAAAAAGAAAAATTTAGTACGTCATAAGTAATTTTAAAAAAAATGCTTACTTCAAATTTACCTATTCTTATTCCATCTCAACAAGTCAAACTTAAACAAAACCAAACACACACACACAAAAATATACTCACACTACATTTCAATAATCCTAGAAAGGCCCGGGCTATGTTTGGGAATTAGGCCATAGCCTATATGGCCCATAGGCCATGATAGGAAATTACACCCGGGTTGAGTATAATTTCGTAACAATACAAAAAGGAAATAAAATAATAACACTCACCTGTAATTCACTGATAAATAGATTTAATATGAATTTTCACAGTTTAGAGCAAAGAGAATTATTTAAAATTTGTTAATTTTCAAAAGGATTTAGATAATGGAGGTTATTAAACGTGCATCGTCTTGACATGATCAAGCAAACTGTCATTTGTCTTCAAAATGGCAACGCACCGGTAATGAAACACACTTGCATTATTGTTTAAGGTACTAGTAGCATAAATCCGCGAAATTTCAAACGTTTCGAATAATCATAACTGTATTTTTTAAAGTTATTTTCCGTTATTTTCTTAATGTGCACAAGAATAGAGTTATCAAGATGAAATGGCGTAGAAGAAGATGGTGGATGTTATCTATCCATCGCAATAGAACTAAATATGTCCTAAGTCAATTTAGTTTTCTTTAAACAAAAATAATTTAATAATTACAATTAATAATAATTTAATAAATTATTATTAATAAATTATTCAAAATATATAAAGAAAAAATGATGTATATGTTATGATTATAGTAGCTCTATGTTTAAAATTTTATAACTTCATTATGGGGCCATATATTCGACATTTTTAATTCGTTGTACATGAAGTCCTCAACCGTCGTGCGCTCAAATCTGTGGAATGGGCCACGTGTAGATACGTACCGCCATCGCTGGCCCACTACCTTTGATATGCGGCGGAAAAATCGACACCGTAGCCATCCCCAAGACCATCGCACGCACCATAAGCCATCCGACACAACTACGCCCTCCACACGCTGGCCAATCATAGTGGGCTCTGGGCTGGGCTATCGCGATGGCCCATCGTGTAGAGGGGCTATTATATGATGTTTATCTAACTTGTACGCATGAGAAACTATAACAATCAATGATGTGTTAACCTTTTTATAGATGGCGCTGACATTTGATACCATCTTTAGAAGAAATTAATTTGTTTAACTTTTGTTTATATATTAACTTTTATTAATGGAAATTACACCAACGCACTATTCGGTAATATTTTTTTCTTTGTTGCATATACGTTTTATAAGATATTTTTTACATCCGACTTATTTTAAAGAAAATCGTTTCATGCACAAACTTATTCCTATCAGAATTTGAGCTAGCTATGAGAGTCTATACCTGGGTGAAGGGTAGATGCCCCAAATAGCAGCCACGCCCCTAATTACAGACTTTTCGCTTTTTTACTTGATAAATAAGATTTCTAGTGCTCTTGACTACAAATATTGGCTAAAAATTATTCGTAACTAGAGGAAAGTATATTTCAAATATTACCACAAAGTTATATATCGACCAGTGTTAAATAAAAATGAAAACAAGTACGCACGTAGTGTAAAATTTCAGTTATCAGGTTGAAATTTTGTTTAACTTACCTGATAAGAAGTAACCTTAGAGTATTTAATTACATACCTACGTATGCATAGATAGAACCTACAATTCTACATAAATTGAGTCAATATACTTGTCTCGCTTTTTCTAATAAAATTTTCAAATAAGGCAAAAAGAGACAAATCTATTGAAAGTTGTTGCGTGTAATTCATGCGTGGAAATAGAAAAGTCAAGTAGTCATCTTTGGTCTCTTTATATGTACCAAATATCAGAGAAATACACTCATATCTTCTGATTTACGAGAAAAATGACATCCCATTTGTAGTAGTATTACATGTGACGTACTTTACAATATATGACTTATGACTTCTTTATTGTATAGTGATTTCGTTCGCAATGTTAGCAGCAATCGACATCGATGTAGGTACTCGGTTTTGTTTAGTTATTTATTTTTGTTACTTTATAATATGTCTAAAATGTAAAGAAAATAGGGCTAGAGCTAGACATGTTATTCTTCGAACGAATTGTTTTCTAAATCAAATTATTATTATATTACATTGCAAATATTCGTTTCGCAAACTTTAAAAACTGATAGTTATGGAGGTATAAATACTAAGTCTTGACAGACATACCTTATATAAGCTTGTTGGATCCCATTTGTAATCCCAATTTTATATGTTGATTAACCATCCACCACGGGTCCGTACGACTGGTTCCTAGATCGCGACAACAGCTCTACTTACCGGGTCCAATTATGAGTGTGAGTGTTTGTCAAAATCGATCCAGCCGTTCTCAAGTGATGATCTTTCATACATGCGGCTATCGATTTTTATTTATATAGATTTACCACTTGCTCAGCGGAAGCTCATCGACTATATTCAACAAAACCTTATCTGCTTGGAAGAAAATATTTCGAAATCATGAAGTTAGCTTGAGAATGTAGCGGCGGCGTAAGTGAAACAACTACCTCCTACAAAATAATACATATTATTACTTCGCTCGTAAGACCCCATACCATCTCGTGAGCATCGGAAAAGGCGACAGAGGGAAATGAAACAGAAGATAGGCAACAGTATCTTCCTGATAACAACTCAAAATAATAAAAAAGTGCGGTTACCAGACAACTTGCTAAGAGAGGAAACTAATATGGCAAATATTCCCCCCTATAAAAGAAGTAAGTTATAATGAATACACTTAGGTACATTCTTTATTCCCTTGTGCAGTCAAAAGGCTAGATGGGTCCTAATAAATATGCCATTCAATTAACTATGATATTACGACAGCAGTCACCCGCTATATTAGTCGAAAAATATCTACTGATATTATAATGTTCCTACATTTTTCTTCTATAAATACATATACAATGGTTCCTTTTTTAAATCTGTTTCTAGAATAAAATATTTACATAATTACCTTGAACTTGAGCCAAGATTATCTCTTTAGCATTGTATTGACAGTGGTATGGCGGAGTTATTTTATTAATGCGTGCCTGTGCCAGCTCACCGATGGCGTAATTTGGTCTCACAGGTTTATTTTGTTTGACTAATTTTAATAGTTCTGCTTTCAATAAATTCATGTTAGCACCCACACCATGATTTTGATGAAATGCCACTAAACCATACGTTTTTGCTAACTTGTGTGGGAGGTTTATCTATTTGGATAGTGATGCTCCAGCATTGTCCATAATTATGGTACACTCTTCTTAAAGGCTTTGCATAAGGGTCGTAAACCACTTTATATTTTTGGCATTTTTATCACCTCGCCACGCCGCACTCCGCACCACCTTGCTCCAAAGAAACTACTGAACCGATTCTAAAAAAATATTCTCTAATAAATAGCTTTAACGTAGGCAAAATTTTATTAACTATGTTAAAATAAGTTTTTAGTATGAAATCTCAATATGTGTAGATGAATCCTAAGTAAAAACGTTAATAGTTGGGCGTAAGTAAAAATAATCTACTATAAGACAATAAGGTATGACTACCAATTTAAAATCATTGCAGGTCGGTGTCGTGGGACGTACGGGCGCGGGTAAATCATCGCTCATATCAGCTTTGTTTCGCCTGGCACCCATTGATGGCCACGTGTACATCGACGATGTCGACACCGGCGAAATTGCTCTCAAGGTAAATTGTAAACTTTTATTTTTCTTTATACAATTGAATTGACAAACGAACTCACGGAATCCACCTGATTATAAGTGGCTACAGTACTGCAACCAACTACAAACAAAGAGGGCGACAATTGATCGCGCTGTCACCTTTGAGTACTGAGGTGGAACGCCTCATAGCCTGTTGTTGTACTGGCTCCCTGTACCCGGAACACAGCAGTGCGCGCAACGCTATTTGGTGCAGCAATAGGTAAGAGGGTAGTCACCCAGACGTACTCCCGCACAGAAAACGAGTCCTACCACCTGGTACTGTACTACCTAGTGTTGCAAATTTTATTTTCAAGCAATGTGTTGCAAGTACCAAAATTCAGCATTTGTTCACCGGCAGTACCACATTTTAATTTTATCTCGTATTAAGTGTTTTCGTGTTTATTTTTTTGCTGAAAACATCAAAGTAAATATGTTCACCTTAGTCCCAACTAGCTGCTCTCTGAATTAGTTCGCATAGACACTACACAGATAGTTAAAGTTATTTTTATATTTGGAGATCTAGACTTAAAAACACCAATTAATTTTTGTAAGTCAACTAGGGTACCAATAAGGCAATGCATTCATAAAACTCAGTCATGTTAAAATAATATTTTCTATTTTACTGATTTATTTTGTATGGCGATTGCAGGAGCTTAGATCCAAGATCGCCATCATTCCTCAGGAGCCGGTGTTGTTCTCCGCCAGCTTGCGCTACAACATGGATCCATTTGACAAGTACACTGATGCCGACATATGGCAGGCGTTAGAACAGGTGGGTATTACGCCTCTGGTTATGTAAATAAAAATACGAAATTATAAGAGTGAAGAGCAGTCATCGCAATGTTTAGTTAGCAAAATATTTTTTTTATTAGCCTCTAACAATACACTGCTGAACTAAAGTTCGGGTTGAACTAGGTTTCTCCCATAGTGGAGAAGGTTTTCCATTGCTGCGTCACCGTTCTGGGAAATATCTAATGTTTGGCGCGAGTCGCGAACACCTACTGACAGTATTTGCGCATGTACGTCCAGCCAACATACTGCAGGCGAATGACACTTAAATATCCAGTGAATGACGAAGATTAACATACGGACCAATTAGTTAAAAGAATGTTCACGGTACCCACCCCAAGCCCTTGTACTTTTTTTTATAGAATAAAGGTGTCAAGCGAACACACAGCCCACCTAATGGTAAGTGGATGCTGTGGGCTATAGATATCTACATCTACCCTCGAATAAACGCTGGTAAATTCTCTAATGGACTCGGTAAGAATGTGCGGAGGAATTAAGATTTTGTCAAAAGGAATATAAAACAGACAGAGATGGTGTTAGTAGAAACTAAAAGTGTTAACACAAATAAACCATCATATCAAAATAAGAATTAAATGCCTTTAGCGTCCAATTTTGTCAAGACCGTATAGGCGTCTAGTATATATAATATCACCTTTGAAACTATCGCGACGAGCTACGTGCATCCGATATGAAGCGAAGGGCGAAACGTATTGTCGTAAGACGTGGAGACGTAATACGGAATCAGCGTATCACCACATGATCGTGTATAATTTTGCATTCAAAGCACCTTGCCATGAAAACATGATACGCCAAGATGATAAAATGTGGACCCAAGCCATTAGTAGGTATTAGGAAGACGCTGCTTCCAATTGATCTTTTATTTGGTTTTCCGCTGTCGCACTGCTGACACTAGTATAGGTTCATATGAAGCAACTATTAAAAATATACTGTAAGCAAAGTAGATATTATCTTCTTGTTATCAATTTCTAAAATCGTTTCAAAAAACAAATTGTAAAGTGTTTTTAATCACTCAAACTGAAACAAGTAATGCAACAAACAAAGTTTCAAGTTTACACTTACAGTTCAATTGGTCAATAAATATTTAGCTAACAAAGCGAAGTTAAATGATTATTTGTTACGTGTTTGTGCTTGTGTTAATAGAAGTTTTATTTGCAATATTGCTTCATACGTTCCTTCCTTGCCTTACTTCCTATCATAAGTCCACTTCATATGCCTACCTCATGTATATTTGAACGGATATTTGCCATAGTTGCCACGCTTTGCAGGCGGTATTGTATATGAGTTCTTATTTAGAAGGAATTTAAGAGGTCAGTGATTCTATAAATTAGAATTGACATTTTTTTATTTTTTGAAATATTGATTGAAATCTGGGATAGTTCAAAAATACTGTCACTATCATCATTACAATCCCTCGCAATTGTACTGCTGAATACAAACCTCCACCAAAAAATGCCGTAGAACCCGGCCCTAAGCCACCTGCATCCATCGACTTCCTGATTTCCATCTAGTAGGAGGTTCGCACGTCCTGTACTCTTTTTACCGGTAAAACGGTACCCATAGAGAATCTTTCCTATATACTGTTTTAAATGCGAAGGGGAGCATGGATAAATGAATTCTATGGTCCATAGGCATCTACATTTCTTTCCTCGATTAATAATATAATAGGTCGGAGAAATAGTTACTACGTATTATATATACAAATTTAAGATTTTTTTTTCTAAGTTTAATTACATTTAGTGTATATAATTTGTTCGATAACTTGTTGCCATCTTGTAGGTAGTGACATGATCCCGTTGCTGTTAAAAATCGAATGGGATTTTTGATCAAAAAAAAAATTAACCAAATAGATTTGACAGTTCTCTCTTCATGTTAACCTAACACTATCCAAAGAATAGAAAAAAATCCATCATAATAGAAAGAAATCCAAAGAATTCTGAGGAGACCGAAACAGGTGAAAATCTGAGAGTGCAAGGTCGGGACTATATAGTCTACACTTACTATGGTACGCGTCTAGGGCAGGCGGAAAAAAGTACAATGATCTCAAGTATTATGTTAGCATCGAAACAAAACGACAGTTATTACTTCCATACATTTCTTTATAGATTACGTATCGTTATGCTGTAATGTTGGGAGGTTCGAGGAATAAATTAAACGTCTAGCGGTCTCGAATGTAGATTTATTACTCCGTGAATGTCTATTAGGCTATCATATTTATAGCTACATGAGCACACACTACACACACACTACACGCTCATCGGCAAAAAGAAAAAAAAATTGAATTACAAAAATAGTTTTTTTCAATAAAACAAAACTTGGTGTAAAAATATCAAAAAAATTGTTCATTATTTAAAAATATTAAAATTCCTACCCTATATCATATTTATAACATAATAAAATTAAAATAAAATATCGTAAACAATGTAATTTAAAAAAAATAACTTTTTTGAATTTATTAAAGAATCATCAAATGATTTGCGTTATTGTATTGATTCTCTGAGTTTTTATTTTAAAATACTTTTAGTTCGCCTATAAAACTGCATAACCTTTAAAATTTTCACTATTAATTCACTTGACATGAAAATTCAGTTTATAAAAAATATAGTTATCAAAAACATTATAAATTGTATATAAGGCTGTTTACAATATTATTATTTTCTTAAACTTCAACAAAATTTTTATTTATCTTAATAAAACTTAAAGGTAAAAAAGTCATTATCATTATAATTATCCTTATTTTTAAGTAGATAAGCTTCTTATTTAACTCATACTGTAGTGTGAGTATACAAACATTACTAGCACTTTCCCTACTAAATCTTAATAAACTGTATCAAAGCGGAATATCCCGTATCGGTTACAACCATTGGTTCCTTTATATATATTTATTTAAGTGTTTATATCGCAAACACTGTTTGAGTAATCTTTACTCTTAACCATTCATAAAAGTAAAGTAAAGTTACAGCCTATATACGTCCCACTGCTGGGCACAGGTCTCCTCTTATTTCTGAGAGGGTATTAGGGCAAGGAAGTGTCCACCGCGCTGCCCCAATGCGTGTTAGCGGACTTCACAAGTCTTCGTGAATTTTTTTTCTTATTTCTCAGACATGCCGGTTTCCTCACGATGTTTTCCTTCACCGCCGAGCACGTGGTAAATTGGCACTTAAAATTGCAATTAATAATTTCATTGGTGCCAGCGGGGATCGAACCCGGTTTGCTCGCGTACTGTGAAATTTACAGCGAGCGCTCACCATCTGAGCCACCACGGCACCATCCATAATGAAGGTAAATCCCGGTATAATTCTATAAATTCAGTCACAAAAGACCCAGAGTATTTACGTAGGTCCACTATTTTAAAATCGCGTACGTGTAACCACGTCCTCACTGCAACGATGTCGCTGGCGACTATCATGCGACTTCGACTTTTCAGATTTACAGCGATTCGATCGCCGCAATTGACTGCGACAATAAATCGCGGCTAAGGTCACGTCCACACACTAATGTTGACATCGCCAGCGAGTCGCTATCGACCAAAGTCGCTGCCGTGTGGACCCTACTTTACAGTGGATTTTATAAAAGGCTGTGTATTGTCTGTCGATTTACATAATTAGTAGGATGTTACTAATTATGTATATGTAGTTTCTAACTCCGGCCAAAAGAATCTTTTCTTTGTACTGTTTATCATTCGCTTATTATACGCGCGTGATTGTTAGTTGGCAACAAAAGGTAGTAGATAATAATGACACGGTAATTTTATCTATACAGTATTCCAACTTCATACAAACGGACGAAGCGAGAGCTATGCCTACGCACCTCGATCTCGGCATGCGCTCGGCATGCAGACAGTCGTGACTGTACCGCAGTGATGATTTTGTGAAATTTATAAAAAATGGAGGAAATATTTAACTTTATTTAAAACCAAACATATGAATTGTAAAGTAGCTGCAGGTATCCATAACCAAGTAAAAGATATTCCTTTTCTCCACCTTGTCCATGTTTGCCAAAACAATTTTTAATTAAGCTTTATATTACATTGCGGATTTTTTATATTAAAATATTTAATAATAAAGGATTTCGAACTTCTCAAACGTCGTCAAATATTTTTCGGTTGCAAATTTATAAGACCGATTTGTTAATCAAACATAAAGGTGGTTTTTTAATTAGATCTATCAATCAAAAAATGATACGCATTTTTATTGAATATTTCCTATTCAATTCAAAAAGTACCTATTTTAATTGTTTATATAATAAAAGTATATTTACAATAATAAAATTAAATAGAAACACAAAGTAGGCAAATGTAATAAAAGTGGTGGAGGCAGGCAGCCCTATCGTATGTTTACGTACCGTACCGCGCGGCATGGATGCGAATAAAGGCAATTTATTTAATTTTCTAAGACCACTATGATTCCTATTGCTTTATGTTAATGATTATTGATCTCAAGAATACCAATTTACGAGTTGATTTTTGGATAGTTTAAAGTATAGGCCTTTTTACCCTACCCTAGTATAATAAGGCCTACAGACTGCGTTTTAAAAAAGTTATATATTGTTTTGGTTTAAGCTAGATAAGCTATTTTTTGTTTAAACTCTGTAGTAATTTAAGTAAATGACTGATTAATAATAAAACATGTAGAATATGTTGCATATTTTTCATTTTATTACAAATTTCCCTTAACTAGGCCTTAATATCCTCAGGTACATTTCTTCGCTTTCTTTTCGGGTCTGAGCGGTTGCCTTTTTTAGGGATCGGGTGGACCAATGCTGTCTTCCATTAATTCGGGAATACGCCTTGGGAGTAGGAGTACCGGACAAGATACGTTAAAACCGGTGCTAACTCCTGAGCACACGTCTTCAGCACAATGGGAGGGACTCCATCAGGCCCGTCCAGGAAGAGGACTGTTTTGCGAACCGAGCTCTGTGTATACCGCACATCCGACATGGAGCACTCACACAGCGGGATGGTCGGTGGAGTGTTCCCCCCGTCATCGAGAGCCGAGTTGAACGCAAAGAAAGAGCCTAGCAGATCGCCTTTCTCCTTTGCGGCATTGAGGCAAAAACAAGCAAACCTTTGCCAGCAGTCTAAGGAGTGTGTGTTGTGCAGGTGGAGATGAAGCAGAGCGTGACGTCTCTGTCGGCGGCGGTGGCGGCGGGCGGCGCCAACTTCAGCGCGGGCCAGCGCCAGCTGCTGTGCCTGGCGCGCGCCGCGCTCGCGCGCAACCGCCTGCTCGTACTCGATGAGGCCACCGCCAACGTCGACCCCAAGTCAGTGCTAGCGTTGTATACGACCCTACGTTACAGCTAGAAAAGTTCTCTCTCCCTCTTGCCTCCCGCCTCTCTCCAAGCCCACCCAAGTCAGTGCTAGCATTGTATACTGCTACCTCTACCGTTACAGCTTAGCAAAAGTTCTCTCTCTCTCTCTCTCTTTCTCTGTCGCCTCCCGCCTGCTCGTACTCGACGAGGCCACCGCCAACGTCACCCCAAGTCAGTGCTAGCATTGTATACTGCTACCTCTACCGTTACAGCTTAGCAAAAGTTCTCTCTCTCTCTTTCTCTCCCCATCTAGATTGTATACTGCTACCTCTACCGTTACAGCTTAGCAAAAGTTTCTCTCTCTCTCTCTGTTTGGTCTTGGTATACCATACACCTTTTACTTGATCTGATGATGAATGATTTAAACACGATCTTGAGAAAAACAATGATTTATTGCGATTTCACAATACACGAAACTTGGTAAAAATATAAGATTGAGTCACGCGACCGTATTGGTAGGCAAACACAAACACACTACACAATAAAATATTAATGAATGAGGTCAGTCGCGCATAGTGTCAAATTACTAAAATGCTGACGCGGGAGAATGCACGGTGTTGCACCGTACATGCTCCGGGCCGCCAGATGAGGGCGGGATGCTGAACATGATTGCTTGAAAAAAGATGTGTGAGTTGCTATGGGCGACGTAGACCTGTTTACAATTCGAACACTGTCTAGTTTATTGGTAACAGGATCACTACGATTGGTCGTTTCTTCTTCACAAATGCTGTTTCGTACGGAGGAGAGGCGAACCGCGGTGCGGTCCTCCGCCGGGGGCACTGCCGGAGAGTTGGCTCTTGCTAACCGTGTTTGTCGCATTCTCCGCCACGCCAGGCCAGCACCCACGATAATTACTGCTCCGATCATAATGTAGATGAGAGAATAATGATGCACATCATGGTATGATACATCACTTGTCAACACCGCCTGCTCTTTCAAATCTTTTAGCTGTTTTTCTAAATCCGAAAATTGTTTTTGGCGGTCATTTATGGTTTCATCTACTATAGACGACATCGGGATCGATGCGTTGATGATATTGTTTATCGGACTGAAGTCTTCAACCTTGATGTCTGGGCTCGTCTTGATAACGCTGCGGTCAAGGTTACGAGCGAGCACCGTAAATAGGTCGGACTTGACAACTTGACTTGAACTTGACTTACCGGTGTGAAATGCTGACGATGCCGGCGCGCTCCAGCTGTGGCGCGGTCACCTGATCCGCGCACATCACTCGTAACTGACACCTCTCACAACAAAAGTATAAGTACTTGTTTATATTGTTTAATTCAGTCCATTTGTAATTGCAGGAGTCCACAACAGTTTTACACTGCTGTTTAATATTATCGAAGTCACAGAATTTCTCGTCTTGTGAGAGATGGTAAACTGGTTTCTTTAAGTGACATAAATACGAGTTAGCTTGCTGACTGCATGATGAAATTTCATCTGTATCCATCACAATGTACGCATCCTTTGCTAGGTTAATGGCCACGTATTCCGATATTGGTATCGTGGTAACCATCTTGCTGTTATTAATCTTGGTCGGTACTGGAATAAGATGAAATATTTCGAAGGAATCTCAACTGATGAGCGGCACCTTTATCTCGAACAGCAGGTAATCTTCACATATTCTAGCCTTTATTGTTAAAAGTTGATAACTACTTTGACGGCTTGCTTGTATGTTTTCGATTGGTAAGGCCAGCTCCTTCGATACGTGGCTTGCTATGACACCGAGTTGAGTTCTACGCTGTTCTGGAGATAATAGATGGAAATTAACTCTCCCGTGATAAATATCTGTGATCGTGTCTAGCAATGATTCTTGCACGCTTCGTACTTCGTAGTTCATATTGCTTGCAGCTACGGCTGCCAAAGTTAATTGATTCACTTGAGACATGTTGACAACCTCTGAGTTTAATATGTTCACGGCCCTTTCTATATTTAGCATCTGTTTGTTTATTAACTTATGCTGCCTGTTCATAGCTTCTTCACTCCTTTTAAGTAAGTTATACTCCGCCTCGACTATAGAGGTTTGATTTCGCCACAAGTTTGCCAGATGCTGCTGATTATCACGGATGAACGTTATGTCTTTTTGGTATTTTTGAGCAAAATTCTCGTCTAAAATTCCAAATAATGAGTTCGCGTTACTGCCGACTCCGTTGATCAGTCCTCGCCGGCGGCGCGAGCGCGTGCGGGAATAGTGTGTCATCAAAATAGTATTATAATGCTGGAACTCGGAGTAACTATGACGTAGTTGCCCTTTACATTGGGCTTCTTGTAATTTATCGCATGTTTCTTGCAAGTAATTGGAATATTGTTCAAAGGTCTCATCCCTTGCCATCATGTCATAATAGACGACCATGGTCCCTTCGTCTCTAATTACTTGCATGTCAGAGACTTTGTCAAAATATATTCCTTGGTTCGACTTCAGAGGTGTGTTAAGAAAAGAACATGATGATGTGCTAAGTATGCTCATGAAAAATAGCATAGCCAACGCAAGCGACGAGAAATGAACTTGAGGTTTCTTAACCGATTGAGGCGCTCTTGTTTGTTGATCGTTCTTGATTGATGATGGTTTGTTTGTGTTATTATCGCTGCCATCTGACTCTTGATTTACAGGTAGTAGCGATAATTTCACGACCGGCCTTTTGAGGTAGCCATTCTTGGTTTTCAGTGTGACTACTCTCACTTGCTCATCAGAACCGGGATGAAGTTCGACGACGCGCCCCATAGCCCACCGTCTTGGAGGTAAGTTGTCTTCGTGGACGAGCACGACGTCGTTGATCTTGATATTTTTTTGTTCCCTTTGCCACTTACTGCGTACATTTAGTTGGGTCAAGTACTCTGAACGCCATCGTTTCCATATGTCGTTATACATTTTTTGACAAAGGTACCATCTTGTTCGTAGATCTTGCTCTGTATCAAATATCGTCAACACAGGTCCACTTGCTAGGAAGTGTGCTGGCGTCAAATAGTCCAGGTTGTCTGGGTCTTCATTCATGGCGCACAATGGTCTTGTATTTAAGCAGCCTTCTAGTTGGTACAGTATGGTGGTGAACTCTTCGTAAGTCAGTCTCTGTTCACCAATGACGCGTTTCAGGTGATATTTTAGACTTTTAACGGCCGCTTCCTATAACCCGCCTGCTGAGGGCCAAGAAGGAGCATTAAAATGCCACTGTGCATTTCTGTGATCTCTTGCATTAACTCTGGATTATCTTGGTTGATGGTCGATATAATTTCTTGGTATTCTTGTGTTAGGACTCTGCTTGCTCCGACGAAGTTGGTGCCATAGTCACTATAAATGTGACTTGGCGTTCCCCGTCTGGCAGCCATCCTCTTCAAAGCCGCTAAGAATGATGACGTCGTTAGGTCCGATACTAGTTCTAAGTGCACGGCCTTGGTTGCCATGCACACGAACACCGCTACATATCCCTTGGTACACTTGGTGCCTCGTCCTTTACTGCCTTTGATCATGATGAAGCCGGTATAATACATTACTGTAAACGCCGAAGGGTTACTTCTGGCACTAGGTAGGTCACCCATGAGTTGATGTTGCTTGCTTGTTCCAAACCGTTGGCATCTCACACACTGTCGTAAGCGTTTCTTAGTAGCCCTGTTGCCCCCTACTATCCAATACTGCTGACGAATAAATGATGCTGTTAATCTTGGTCCCCCGTGAAATGTAAGACTGTGGGCTTCATCTATGATCAACTTCGTAAGATGGTTAGCGTGTGGAGTGATGATTGGGTGCTTCATTTCCATGCTTATCTGCGCGTTTCTCAGTCTACCACCAACTCTTAGAACGCCTTTTTCATCTAAATAAGGGTGTAAGTTTACTATCTTGCTCTTGGTATTCACGCTCTGTTTTGTCTTGAGATCTTCTATCTCTTGCGAAAACTCTTCTTGCTGAACATGCTTGATTATTCTTTGCTTTGCTGCTCTGATTTCTTCTAATGTTAAGTATGATGGCATCTTAATTTTTGTTCTTGTAGTTTTTATGAAACGGTATACCCAGGCTACGACGCGGATTAGTTTATTGAACTTACTGTATTTCTTGATAATTTGACCCAAAATATTCATTTCTTGATCTTGGTATGTCGAAATATTTATCTGCTTTGCCTTCTTTTGTTCTTCATTGGTATCATAACTTGTTTCTTCTTGTTTATCTTGATAAGTAGGCAGCCAGCTTGGTCCCTGCCACCACAGAGAATGACTTACTAGTTGTGTAGCAGTTAGGCCTCTTCTTGCGCAGTCCGCTGGGTTGTCCTGGGACTTTACGTATCGCCAGTCTTGTGCTGGAATGACGTCGGTAATTTGCTTGACTCTATTTGCTACGAAGGTTTTCCACCTGCTCGGATCACCCTGCAGCCACCCCAGCACTGCCGTGGAGTCAACCCAGCCGTACTGCTTGATTTCGTAATTTTCTAAACTCTGTTTTACCTTGGACATTAATTTTGCTAACAAAACTGCGCCGCATAATTCAAGTCTAGGTAAATTTACAGTTTTGCTGACCGGCACTAACCTTGTTTTTGCCGCGACCAAAACCACTGTACTTTGGTCTCCACGAGTTATTTTGCAGTATATTACGCAAGCGTACGCTTTTGTTGACGAGTCGCAAAATCCATGCAACTCAATAACATCGGTATCGTTTGTATTGAGCCATCTTTTTACTTGAATTTTTTCGATGTTATGAATATCGTCCCCGATTTTCTGCCACTCCAAATTGATGTTATCGGGAAGTGTATCATTCCAGTCGATGTTAGATAGCCACGTAGATTGGAAAAGTAGAGCTTCAACTTGGTAGTCAATGGTGAAATCCAGCCCAGAGGGTCCCAAAAGGTTGATATGTCCGATAATAAGCTTCTCTTGGTGTCGCTTGTCTGACGATCTTGAATTTTGGGTTGGAAAGTGAAGGAATCTTCTTGAAGGTTCCATCTCAACCCTAAGGTCTTTGTAGATTC